CACTGTAACTGTCCATTCTCTTGTCTCTTCAACTTAACTGTGAGTCTCAGGAGGGCAGGGGTGTCTGCCTGTGCTGTTAACCACTGTATCCCTGATGCCCCCTCAGTGCCCAGCACATAGAGACTCCTCACACACGTTTGCTGAATGAATAAGAGAATGAATTAATGATGTCATAGATTTACTTGCTCAAGGGCCTGGAGATAGGAACAAACAGCTCCCCTGTCTCCTGCCCCAGACCCTTCCTTGCGGGAAGAGTTCAGGAAGCCCTTGGGAGCCAGGAGCAGGGAGACAGAGCTGTCTTTGAGCCCTTCTTCATCTTTCCGCAGGTATATGGGGCATCCAATGTGGAACTCATCACCCGGACACGGACAGAGCATCTCTCAGAACAGCACAAGGGCAAGGTCAAAGGTAATGAGGCAGAGGCACGTGGGGGGCTGTGAGGAACCAGCTTCCACGTGAACACCTCCATCAGCATCCCTCTGACGTCCTTGTAAAAGCCAGGATAGTCTATTCAGGCAAATGGGTTTCAACTCAAGGGCCACGTCCTCATGGCTGGTGGTGGCTGCCAAGAGTGCTGCCAAGATGCTTCCAGGGCAACAGTTGGTTGGTCTCAGTGGGAAGGGGCCGATGACCACTGTCTGCGTTGGGTTTGGGAAGGGAGAGAAGGGTCATGTCTGCTCTTTGTTGGCCGTTCTGGCCTAGTGAGATATACCCTAGGCCAGTGGTTGGCAAACTCATTAGTCAACAGAGCCAAATATCAACAGTACAATGATTGAAATTTCTTTTGAGAGCCAAATTTTTTAAACTTAAACTATATAGGTAGGTACATTGTTATTAACTTAATTAGGGTACTCCTAAGCTGGCCTTTGCTAAAAAACATCCCCAATCTGTGGGGTCGACCTCAGCGAACGTACCCCCACTTCTTCTAACGCCTCTTCTTCAAAATAGACTCACCCAGGCCGAAAACTGACTTCTGCGCATGGGCCATGAATTTTCAATCGCACTGTACATGCGCGCCCGCACGTGGTATTTTGTGGAAGAGCCACACTCAAGGGGCCAAAGAGCCGCATGTGGCTCGCGAGCCGTGGTTTGCCAACCACTGTCCTAGGCAGAAAGTCAGGGGCCCTGCACTGATGCTCTGTGCCAGTTGATACTACACCTGACTTTCTGGGCACCACTTACTGTGTCTAAAGCAGAGAGACATAACTCCTACCTCACAGGAGAACAAGTGAACATGGAAGTTCCTGAAAGAAAACACATACATGCGCATGTATGTTCCAAAACTCTTCACCAAAGCAGGTACTTTTTGTCCAGTGTCATCAACTTGAAGAGCGACCCTGGAAGTTTACCCTGAGCCCGAGGCCTACGTTCTATGCCAGCTAGACTAATAGTGGCCCTGGCCCCGCCCCCCGTGTCTCAGCCCCTTCAGGTGAAGGTGCCTGGATGGTGGTGTGGATGAGCAGCCGCCCCGCCCCCAGGAACCAGCCTCCCGCCTCGGACTTGGGTGCCGTTACTTCCGAGGGCTGCAGTGTCCTCCAAGATGCCACGTTTCTTACAGGCTGCAAGACACCGCTGCAGTCCTTCCTGGGAATTGCTGAGCAGCACGGGGGTCCCCAAAATGGGGTGAGTGTGGGCCAGGGGTGCCCCTTGGTGGGAAGGTATGGATGTGGCTCAGGAGAAGGCCTGGAAGGTGTCCTGCTTAGCATGCCTGCGAGGACCTCTTTTCCACGGTGCCCAAGACCATGCCAGCCCCACAGTGGCAGTGGGGATGGCTCTGGGCCTGTCATACACATGGCTGGCCTGGCATCAAAGGCTGAGGAGGGCTCATGGGCCCCTCCCCATGCGGTACAGACCCTGATCACCCAGACTCTGAGCCGAGCCAACCCCACTGCCATCACCGCAGAAGAGTACTTCAACCCCAACTTTGAGCTTGGCAACCGTGACATGGGCCGCCCCATGGAACTGACCACCAAGACACAGAAGTGAGGCCCCTGCTGGTGCTCGGGAGGGGTGGGCAGGGCAGGACGGCCGGGGAGGAGGGGCAGGGGCTCCAGAAGGTTCTGGGAGCATCACTCCTACAATGTCCCTCACCCCTTGGGATCCTGGGGGGCAGGTTCAAGGCCAAGCTGTGGCTTTGTGAGGAGCATCCCCTGTCCCTGTGTGAGCAGGTAGCTCCCATCATCGACCTCATGGCTGTTAGCAATGCGCTTTTCGCCAAGCTCCGGGATTTCATTACCCTGCGCCTGCCTCCTGGCTTCCCTGTCAAGATTGGTGAGCCCCCATTCCCACTTCCCCGTGGCTGCTGTTGTGGGGCTGGGGGGGGTGTAGATGAGGGAGAGTGGGGGTCTACGGTGTGAGGGGGTGGGTGGTGGCACCTGATGGTTTCCTCACCCTCAGAAATCCCGATCTTCCACATCCTCAACGCCCGCATCACCTTCGGGAACCTCAACGGCTGCGACGAGCCCGTGCCTTCGGTGCGAGGCAGCCCCAGCAGCGAGACCCCTTCCCCTGGCAGCGACTCCTCCAGCGTCAGTAGCTCCAGTTCCACAAGTGAGCCCTGCCCCCTCTGAGCTCGCTCGCCCAGCCCCCTCTCCAGAGCCCTCGTCCCCTCCCTGGGGAGCCACTCTGACCTCGGCCTGCCCCCGCAGCCTCCTGCCGTGGATGCGAGATCTCTCCCACCTTGTTCGAGGCCCCGCGGGGCTACAGCGTGCTGGGTGGCCAGCGGGAGGCCGCGACCCATGACGACGACGACGACCTGCTGCAGTTTGCCATCCAGCAGAGCCTGCTTGAGGCAGGCAGTGAGTATGACCAGGTTCGTCCCCTCGGACGCACGGGGCCACCTGACTGCGGTGCCGCGATAGCCAACTGGCCCCGCCCTCTCCCTCCAGGTCACTATCTGGGAGGCGCTAACCAACAGCAAGCCGGGCACTCACCCCGTGTCCTGCGAGGGTCGCCGACAGGACAGGTCAGTGGCCACCAGGATTGGGAGATGCCCACCCCCCCCACGCACAACACACCCCAAGACCCTATCACAGGGGGTGAGGACACAGCCCACTGAACAGCCCTGCTGGCCCAGAGGAACTGTGGTCCCCTCACCAGGGACCTATCGGAATCAAGATGGTTTCTACCATAGCCTTTTCTGGCTCAGGGGTGGGTGAGCAGAACTCCTAAAGTGGCCGGTGTGGGGCCAGGCCTCATGGCCTCCAGACCCTCACCAGGCCGGGTGTCGGGGCCAGGGTTCTAGAAGATGCCCACGTGCGCTGGCTGCTGCCCCCTGGGAGGACGGGCTTTGTAGGGACTGGGCTCTGCACACCGGGTGGGAGCCAGGGAGGTGAGCAGGACTGAGGGCGGCAGGACTGCTCGGTCCTGGGGCCTCCACGCTGGTTCCCGCCCCGCTCACCAGCAGTTGCGCCCGGAGCCCTGGATGTGTCATCCTTGCCCCCAGGAGCAACCCGCCCACCCCACAGCACCAGCCCGCCACCCCCACAGCGGTGCCCAGCCCTCGGCCCAGCCCTGGCCCTGGCAGCCACGTGTTCCGGAGCTATGACGAGCAGCTGCGGCTGGCCATGGAGCTGTCTGCGCAGGAGCAAGAGGAGCGGCGGCGACGGGCGCGCCAGGAGGAGGAGGAACTGGAGCGGATCCTGAGGCTCTCACTGACCGAGCAGTAGTGCCACTGCCCGGCCTCCGGCCACGCCACGGAGCCCCACCGGAGCGAGACTCCCTGGCCCAGGCACAGGCGCTGTGGCTGGAGACCAGAGCCCCGCCTTGGGGGCGTAGGGATGCACCAGGCACCAGACCAGGAGGGGGTCAGCATGGCCAGGCCAGGAGGCAGCTGGCTCGGCCTGGTCCCCCTGCTTTGCTGTAATGACCCTCAGCCCTCTCCCCTGTCCACGGGCAGAGCCAGGTGGTCCTGAGCGGGAGACCAGTCCTCAGAGGAGCAGTGTCCCCCAGCCCTGCTCCTGGCTGGCCCTACTTCCTGCTCACTAACCCCACCCCCGGACACTGCCTGTGAAGCCTTTGCATTTCCGCTCTTCACCCCTGGGGGCAGCTGAGCTCCCCAAGTGCTGTGTTGCTGCTTTGTTCCAGACGCAAACCAGCACGTCTAGGGCCCAGCCCCTCCCCCACTCCAGCATTTCAGCGTCAAGTGCACTTAGCGGGGTGCCCAGCTCCCCCAGCCCCCACACCCCTCCCAGGTCTCAGGGTGGTCCCAGCTTCAATTTGGGCAGCCAGAGGTTGGAGACCCCTTCCCCAAGACATTTTTTTTTGTGATCAGGGAGGGTGCCCAAGGTGGCCCCCCACACCTGGGCTCGCCTGGCTCCCACATGCTGTTCTGGCAAATGGGGGGCATACTGGGCTGGGGGCAAGCTCTAGACCCTACACTAGACTGGATGCAGAGGGGCTGCCCCCGCCCAGGCACCACCACCCACCCCGTCCCGCCAGCTGCTGCTAGCCCTCCGTGGTTGTGCGCCCACTTGCCCCCTCCCAGGGGCTGATTCTAAAACCCTTCATCCGATGGTGCTAACCCCCGGCTCTCCCCGCCCACCCCACCCACCAAGAGAAGCACAGACCCTGCCAGGGGCAGGGGCCCATGGCACACCCTGACCCAGGTTCTCTCTGACGGGCCTTCCTGGCTCAGCCGGGAGGTTCAGAAGGGACACAAAAGGGGTGGAAGGAAAGAACAAAGAGAAACGGTTCCTCTTACCCCCTCCCTGATGCCAGGGGCACCAGACTGATTCTGAGGCACAAATTAAAGAGGCTTCAAACCTGAGGCTTTCCCTGTCTGCCTTTACTGGGGAGGAACGCCCGCCCGCCTGCGGCCTGGGGTTCCTTCTGAACTTCCGTGTAGGGAGGGCTGAGGGAAGAGGGTGCCTGGTGGATCCTGAGCTCATTTGTCAGGGTCTCGGGGAGCCTGGGGGTAGCATTTGTAGAGGCTGGGAGGCTCGTTACACACACACACACACACACACACACACACACACGCCCACGCAGGAGGCACAGACTGAACACTTAGTAAAAGATTTCATTCCGCATGACTTGTTTTCCTCCTAGAGCCGGGGCCACGCAGAGGGCTGGGGGCAGTGTGTGTGAGGGGGGCGCAGAGGGCTGGGGGTGAACCTGCTTCCTCGGGCGAGTGCTGCTCGCCCTCCCCCTCGAGGAAGCCGCCCTGCCCCGTGGGCAGGAAGGGAGAGCGCCCTCTGCTGGGCGCAGCCAGCGGGTCCAGCTCCACAGACAACGTGTGGTTCGCGTCTGTAGAACTGGGGCGGCCTCGGCCGCTTTACCTCTCGTGGGTGGAGTCGTGTGACCTGATCAGAGGGCGTGGCCTGTAACTTCCCAGCCAGTCCAGGGACACCCGTCGGTTCGCCACCCCTTGGAGGTCAAGCCCAAGCTCCCCGTCTCCCCAAGCATCTCGCTAACAACTAGGCACTTCCTCCGCCCTGAGCGCGGGACAGAGCGGACGCCGTCTGGCCGCGCAGCACCGTGGCGGAGGCCCCGTCCCCCGGCCTCCCGAGGCCAGCTCCTGCCGGGTCCCGGGTGAAGCGCGCGGCGTGGGTGCCCGAGGGGTGCGGTGCCCGACGGACGCTCGTCTCCCTGAGGCTCCATTGTCCAGGCTTCCCGCGGGGGAAGGCGTTCCATTCCCAGTCCCGTACCCAGCCCAGAGGCGGGGTCCCGGCTTGCAGACCCGAAGCCTGGGCAGGCCGAGCCCTTGCGCCCGCCCGGCCGGCCTCACCCTCCAGGTTCGGAGCCGTCGGGAGCGCTGCGCTAGGCTAGTCCGTGCCGTCCACCAGCTCGCACAGCATGTTCTCCAGCGCCGTGATGCGCTGCTCCTGGGCCTGCACCTGCTCGCGCAGGGCCTTGATCTGCTCCAGCAGCGTCTCCAGCGTGTTCTGCTGTGGGGCGCGGAGGATAGGAGGCGGCTTGGCCGGGGAGAGGGGGGTGGGAGGTGGGGGAAACGAACGTGTAGACTGGGTCTGGGTGGGGGCGAGCGGATCTTACCGATAAGGGGGCGTCGCTGGCTGACTGGCTGCGGCGGGGGCCGGAGGGCGGGCGCGCGTCCAGGATGTTGCGCTTGGTGACTCGGAGCTCGCGGTGCTTGGGGGGGACGTACCCATCCCTCAGCGAGATGAGCACGGGCTCGGCGTCCTGGCCCGACAGCCACTCGTCCGCTTCTAGGGCGGCTCGGGTCCCGGCGTGTCTGGGTACAGGTCGTCCTGGAACAAGTCTGACTGCGGGGTGGTCGGGGGAGGGAGGGAGGGACAGGGGGACGAGGGTTAGCAGGTGCCGGGCCTGCTCTGGTCCGTCCACCTTGGAGCCCTGCCCAGCCCCTCACCTTGCGGGGCACAGTCATGATGATGGGTTCACACTTCCTTTCGTGCAGCTTGTAGAACCTGTAAGGGAGGGGGCTCAGCACCCCCGCAGGCTCCCCCCCGGGAAGGGGTTTAGAGGCCGGCACTTGCGGAGCGCCTGCCAGGCGCCGCCCTTTAAGCACATGGTTAGTCCCTCTGGGAAATGCCTGATGGGGTGTCGGTCATCATCTTACAGATGAGGACACGGTTCAGAGGCTGTCGAGCTAGTTAGAGCTGGGGCTGGCGCTGGCAACAGCTGGTTTGACACCCCCGCCCCCGCTTTCCCAAAGATCACACTATTGGGGACGCCCCCGTGTCTCCCCACGGGAAGTGAGCGCAGGCGGAGGCTGCTGACCGGGCGATCTCGCATTTGCTGACGTCCAGCCCCCGCTTGGGCATGAACCCCATGCCCCGCTGCGGCTCCTTGCTGCTGAACGTGTTCAGGTAGTGCACGAAGGGTGGCTCGTCGGTGATCTCAAAGTACCGAATGCTGCTGTCGCCCTGCAAAGCCAGCCGGTTCAGAGACGCCCCGGACAGGGCTCCCCCCTTCCCCTGCCGCCCGCCCCGGTCTCCCCGCAGGCCCGGCGCGAGCACCTTGCCACACAGGTAGACGATGCTGGAGTCGGCGTCGTAGAAGGGCAGGAGGACCCCGTTGCTCGTGTCCATCTCCTGCAGCGCCACTGGCTCCACGAAGTTGTTCTGCCCGAGCATAGGAGGCGTGAGCAGCCCTGTCCCGCCTTCTGCGCGGCTCCTGGATCCCCTGAAGCCCCGGGAGGCTTCCTGCCGCCCCCAACCCCAGGTGCTCCCGCCGCAGTTCCGGTGAACCGAGTGGCAGGCCCCGCCCCGGGACACGCCACTCCCAGGCCCCTGCTCACAGGCCCCTCAGGGCAGCATGCAGTCACCGCAAACCACCCCCAGGGACTCGGCATCACCAGTTGGGGGCGCCAGCGTGGGCTCCTGCAGGCGACGCAGCAAAACTGGGCGGAGGGGTGGCTGTGCGGGTGGCAGGCGCTGCAAAGAGGGCAGCAGCCCCCAGCCCTGTCCAGGTGGGCATGCCCTGCGGGTGGGGGACGCCTGGCCCCTCTCCCGTGATGCCAGTCCCCGGGGCACACACCCCACGCTTCCAGCTGCGTTACCGGGTCCCACAGGCCCAGCTCTCGCTGGCTCATGCGGGTGAAGCCCGTGGTGAAGATATGACCCTGGCGCGTGAAGATGGCCCGCATGGGCCTCATCCCCTCGTGGGCCGCAAACCTCTCCTGGGGGCAGGGGGAAAACAGGGAGAGGCGTCACCTAGCTGCCTGCCCTGGGGATGCTGGAGGGCCCAGCAACCTGCTGGCGGACTTACGGGGGGCGGAGACAAAAAGGGGCCTAAGTACTCCGCTTCCGGGGCCCTAACTGTCCCCGGGCCGGGGCGCGTCTGGGCCTTGGGAGACCTGAAGGCGTGCGTCTCAGCGGATGACGAGCCCTTAAGCGCTCTCCGAGGCTGATCCCTAGAGCAGGGGGGTGTCTGCCGGTTTCCCGGGGACGCGGCGAGGCTGCTCCAGAAGGCGCCCTCTTGGGCGCCGGCCGCGCTCCGGGCTGACCTAGCGAAGTCGCGAGCGCACGCCCCGGCGCAGCCTGGCCTACCGGGTCCCAGAGCGCGAGTTGTCGCTCACTCATCCTGCTGAAGCCGGTGCTGAGTAGCTTCCCGTCTGCGGTGAAGACGGCCCGCATCGGGCGGGCGCCCTCGTGAGGCCGGGCTCGCTCCGGCTCGCGGGGTTAGTGGGTTAGAGGGCCCGCCGGCCGCGCGCACTGGGCGCAGACATACATGCACGTGCCCCAAGCACCCCGCGTTAGTCTGAGGCTGGTGAGGCAGGTGCCAGCCACCGCCCTCCCAGGGCACCAAGGAGAGACCAGCTGCGCGCGAGGACTGCCCCTCACCCCCCGCCCAGCGGGTCAACTAGGGCGGAAAGGGCCAGGCCTTGAGCCAGTGTCAGGCCCTGGGCCCTGGAAGATGGCTCTGGCTGCCGGCTGAGAGGAGAGGGGTCCGGAGCTGAGGCTTCATGCAGGTTCTAATGGGAGGATGGTTTGCAGCTCCTCCCCTGCTCCTCTGAGCTCCTGAGATGGAGGGGAGGGAAGGGGAGAGGAATAGGGCAGGAAGCTGTGGCTGCAGACACTAGGAGGTGGTGGTGGGTGGAAGCACTGGCCTCTGCGGTTGGGATCCGGGAGGTGAGAGCTGGGACCAGGGGCTCAGAGGATCTCAGGTACAGGGGCCTGCCGGTTGGCTCCTGGGGTGGGGGCTGGGGCGTGGCCAGGCCAGGCACTCACCGCCACCACCTGGCCCTTGCGGGGGTCGACAATGCGCAGGGTCTTATCCTTGCAGGTGGTGGCCAGCAGGCTGCCGTTGCTGTTCCAGCACACGCTGTGGATGATGTCCGGGTGCATGTCGTCCAGGCTCAGGAGCACCTCCCCGGTGCCCACGTTCCAGATGATGATCACATTGTCACCACCTGCCCAGAGTGGCCAGTCACCATCACCTGGGCCCTGCCTTTGCCACCCTCCCCCCAAGAGCTACAGTAGGGATCCCTCGCTAGGCCCCCAGACCTGCACTGAGCAGGACATTCCGGGCAGTGGGGTGCCAGGAGAGGATGCCCACGCGCTTGGAGTGGCCTTCTAGTGTGATGATGGGCTCGGTAATGTTGCGCATAGGGGTATAGTCTGGAATCTGCCACACCTGGGGAGGAGGAAAAGGCAGAGGGTGGGTAGGATGAGGAGCTACTTTGTCCCTCAGCTCCTCCCTTACTTCCCCTCCCTGCCCCTCCAAGCCTACTGGTGTCAAATGTAGGGCAAGATGTGATGGTGCCTGCCTGGGTCAGAGGCGGCTGGGAGCCAGGAGGGGCACTGCCAGCTCTCCAGATCTTCATCACCCCAGCAGGGAGACTTCAGAGCAGTAACTCCCTACTCTTCACCCCCAAATTGGCCATGGTTATTATTAGTCCTAAGCAGTGCATCCTGGGAGGGAGTGGGCATGTAGCTAAAGATAGCCTGGGAGCTGGGTAGGACAGGGCCCTGGGACCCAGCACCTCCCTTAGCACCTTCTCTAGAACAGGTGAGGCCGCCCCAGCTGCTTCCCCTGCCCAACGACCCGGCGGCTTCCAACTGGCTCCTACCATGATGGTGGTGTCATCTGAGGCACTGGCGATGACGTTGTCATTGTGTGGGCACCAGTCGATGTCCAGCACAGGGGCAGTGTGCCCAGTGACCAGTGGGTAGTTCTTATCCACTCGTCCTGTCTGGAGGGGTGAGAGAGAGAGAGAGATGTGGGCCACTCTCCTGTGTGATTTTGGGGGGCGGGCAGGGGACCTGTTTACATCTCAATTCTCTGTCATTCACTTTCTCTTTGCAGACCCCTCTCTACACCTCCAATCTCATTCAGCCTACTTCCTGTACTTCGGTGAAGGCAGACAGAGTTGAAGTCATTTAATATCAGGGACTCAGACACAGAGAGGTCAGGTGACTTAACCAAGGACACACAAGATACTGGTAGAGCCAAGATCTGAACTCTGAGTCCAGTGCTCTTCCAACACGCCTGCTTGGAGGCTGTTCTTGAGCCTGTTCCCCCAGTTGGGATGTCTGTGGGGAGCCCCTGGTGGAAGAGGTGAAGGTGAGATAGTACATAGTGTAGCACCTGACACCCTTGGCAGATTCCCACCTTGTCACTGGTTTACTTTGGAACCACAAGCAGCAGGCACTCCTGGTGCCTGTTATGCTCCAACCTGAGCTGGGACCCATCTATTTTTGGTCTTTATGGGCTGTTCGTGGGGGCTCTGAAGCCGTTGCTGGGCTGGCATTGGCCCAGACGGTGGGGGAGAAGGGTGGCTGTGTGGCACTGGAATGACAGTAGTAACTGGGGGAGGAGGTGGCTCCAGCTGAAATTTGAGCCATGGGGATGGTGTCCTTGTATGGTGTCCGCATTGTCCTGGAGTGAGTCATTGGCTATTGTCAGGTCTTCCTGCCACCTGTGGGGCCTCCCCTAACAAGGTGTAGGGGGCAGAATCCAGGTCAAGGTCATGCTTGGGGTGGGCAGGCTGGGGGTGGAGAGGGCAGAGGGGCTTCAGACTACTCAGCAAAGGTGGTGGTCATTACCTGGGTCAGGGAGCAGGGCTCTGGGCTTCTGTGTCATGACCCCCTGACCTCTGTTCTCGTGCACCTCTCTGTAGGAACCAGAGTGGGGAGGTGGCCAGGGACCCTGGGGAGCCCGGCTCTGTCCTCAGTGTGAAGCGGTGGGGTGTGATAGCCAAATGGTTATCCTGGACTGGGGAGAAAGGCCCTCACACCCAAAACATGAGGGGGTGCGGCATCAGGAGAGAGAGGAAGAGAATCTGGCCAGGCCCTGATTCCACGGCTTCCCAACTATCTCCCTCACCCACTCCTGGCCCCAGCTGGGACCGGGGTGCTGGGCTGTGAGTGGGTACAGGCCACTGTGAAGCTGCTTTGGGAGGGGAAAGGAGCCTCCTAAGGGGCCCAACCCAAACAAACAGCCCCCCTGACGGAGGAAGGGAACTAGGTGAGAACAGAGGCTGCTGCCAGGAGTGCCCAGGGGCCACAGCCAGTGTCCTCCCGCCAGCTTCCTTCTCCTCGTCCCTCACCTTGGCCAGAGGCAGGACGATGAAGGCACCTCCGCCTCCCGCCTCCACAATAATGGCCAGGAATTTGGGGTTGACGGCGCAGAAGGAGCTGTCCCATGTGACCTTGGACACACGGATGTCCTCGTAGGCCTGGTCAGCCTTTGCCGCCTGCCCAAACACATGGCGAAACTTGCTCTGCCGCACCACGCGCCGGCTCATGGCTGGGGGCAGAGATGGAGGATCTCAGTGCCCAGAAACGCCTTCGGTCCTTAGTCCTGTGAACTGTGGGAGGCAGGAAGAGAGAGTGTGTGTGTGTGAGAGAGAGAGGGTGGGGGGTGGGGTTAGGGTAGCAAGTGAAAAGGCTTATCTGGCCAGGAGTTGGGTATAAATTAATTCGGAGTCTGGTCCTAGAAGCAGGGAGCTTTCTTCAAGGTGGTGAAAGTATGAGACAGTTCTTTGCCACCTCTCAAGTGGGGCTTAATGCAAGGGGCTGGGATTTGGATGGGCCTGACTTCTCAGAGACCCAGACTGAGGGGGCACTGGGCCCAAAAGCCTCCTGGAAGGTGAAGTGGTTTGGGGAGGAGCCTCAAGGCCAGGCTGCCCTCCCACTGCCAGCCGTGGGTGAGCATCTCCTCACAGAATTGGTTTATCTGCCAGAGGCACCTGGTCCAGAATCAGAGGCCTTGGCCCTTGGATCCTGGCTAAAGCTGGCTGTGGGGCTGGAACGGCAGCCCCCCACGGCCCTCATCTCTGGCACAGTTCAGGCAGAGGGTTTGTAATTTTTCTAAAAATGTGCCGAGGAGGAGTTCCTCCTGTCCCCTAACCCGAGTCCTTCCTGCTGCTGTTTTCATCCATCTCCTCCATGTTGTTTTCGGGGACACAGTGCAAGGTGGGTCATCCTCCTTCCACTCCGCTCTGCACTGGCTTCTCCCAAAGGCCCTCACGGTGGTTCTGCCTTTTGCCTCCCATCCTGTCCGTCCTGCTTCTCCCCTGAGTCCCGACTCCTCCTAAACTCTCCTGGGGGTGGGGTGCTCCACCCCAGGCCAGGGCCAGATTTGCAGGAGCGGGAGGCCGAGGTGCCTTTTCTCCAGCCGGGGCCTGCCCTACGCTCTTCCCCAGGGGCACAAGGAGCTCTTCCAAAGCCCAGCCACCGACTCCTGTCCCCTAACCACCCGGCATCCCTGTGCCCTTCAGGCTGCTTCTGCAGCCCGGGGCCTAAGGCCTGGACTTCCCGAACCCTCCTTGGGCCTCCTGCCCCAGCACCGCGTTCTTGTGAGACTAGGTGTCTGCACCCTTTGGGCGCCGGCGCTGCCCGTCCAAATATAGACACCAAGTCTGCCCCACCCGGGCGATTTTGGCGGCAGGGGGGAGGGGGGCGCAATCCTGTGCCCCCTCCAGAGATCCTGCCTGCTCGGCTGTCTGCGGTGGTGGCGGGGGGCGGGGGGGCAGGGAACGGGGATACCTGGTCCTGGGCGGGCCGAAGGGCACTCAGGCAGCGACTCCTCTGCGGAGGGAGCTGGGGGCGCGCTGGCTCCGAGGTAGGCGGCCGGGCCGGAAGGAACTGCCGCTCCGGGTGTCCGCGGCGTCTGGGCCCGGGTGTGGGGCTGCGCGCTCCAGCCGCTGCGTGCGGCTCTCCGGGGCCGGGCGCCACTGCAGTCCCAGCTGCTGCTGCCATCAACCTGCGAAGGCGGAGCCCAGCCGGAGGGCGGGACCAGAGGTGCCCCGCCCCATCCCCGCGGCGGGAAAGTTGAACTCTGTGGCCTCAGAAAAGCGTCAAAAGTAATCGTTTTGGCTCAGTGGATAGAGCCTCGGCCTGTGGACTAAAGGGTCCCAGGCTCAATTCCGGACAAGGGCACAAGCCGGGGTTGCAGGCTCGATCCCCCCCAGTGGGGGGCGTGCAGGAGGCAGCCAATCAATGATTCTCTATCCTTCTCCTTTCCTCTCTAAAATCAATAAACATATTTTTTAAAAAAAAGTAATCGTAGGGGTGTGTGCGGAGTGTGGGGTGTGCGCACTCCTTACCCGCCCTCGGCTCCTACCGGGTGTGATGGGCGCTGAGAGGGGCAATGGACGAGGAGGGGGCGCGCTCCTCTCAGAGCCAGCGGCCTGGCAAGATCAGGTGCCTTCGCGCCTCATTCTTGCTGCAATCACACTCCCAGTTTAGCCCGGGGTGGGGGTGGGGGTGGGGGGAAACAGGGAACAAGGCCGGGGGGCTGCACCTCCAGACCCTCTTTCGGAGAGGTCCCGGAAGATGCTCTGGGGGAGAAAAGCGGATGCACCCTGACACCCTGGAACGCCAGTTCAAAGGGAAGCGGCTGTAACAGGTCTTTAGCCAAGTTATTTTTTTAAGTTACTTATGTATGGATTTATTTTTAATCCTCACCCAAGGATACTTTTTCCACTGATTTTTTAGAGCGAATAGAAGGGAGGGGGAGAGACACACAGAGAGAAGAAACATCCAGGTGAGAGAGACACATTGACCAGTCGACCAGGCGGGGATGGAGCCTGCAACTGGGGCACATGCCCTTGACCGGCAGTCCGCTCTATCCACTGTGGCCCATTTTCAGATGCCCAGCCTGACTCCTAAAGTCTTCTGGGCTGGTGCCCGCCTCTGTTCCAGGGAAGACCCCGCCTCTTCCCAACCCTCTCAGGACCCAGAGATCTGGGTATGGACCAAAGTTAAAAAGGAGATAAAAAGAAATCTGGTCAAAATACAGTCAGTGAATAACAATTGGTCCCTGTAGCTGCAGTCTACCTAGCGCCCGCCCCTGCCTGGAACTGTTTCTTTTAAAAAAAAATATTTTTATTGATTTCAGAGAGAGAGGGAGAGATAGAAATATCAATGATGAGAGAGAATCATTGATTGGCTGCCTCCTGCACGCCCCACACTGGGGATCGAGCCTGCAACCCAGGCATGTGCCCTTGATGGGAATCGAACCTGGAACCCTTCAGTCTGCAGGCTGATGCTCTGTCCACTGAGCCAACCAGCGAGGGCTGGATCTGTTTCTTTGGAGCATAAAGCCCCGGGGCAGCAGCATGGGGCCAGTTATTCCCGCTCTCCGGGCACAGCTGGGAATCAATGTAAGTTTTCCAGAGGGCAGAGGGGAGAGAAGATGGTGGGGACCTGGGGGGCCCTCTCAGGCGAGTTCAAGTCCTCATGACTTGGACATGACTTGGAGGGGAACAGAATCAAACTGTTCCAAGTGCTCCAGAAAGAATTCATGTTACAGGGGGATCATAAGGGGAGATGAGGAGTCTCCCGTTTACCTAAAGATTCCAGGCACAGAACTAGGAAGAAAAGACCTTAATGACTCAGTTGCTCCCTAGTAACAACAGTTCACATGTGCTAGACACTGTCCTAAGGGTTTTACACATATTACTTCCATCCTAACAGTCTTCTGAGATGGGTGCTATTAATATCCCTACTTTACAGATGGGAAAACTGAGGCACGGAAGTGGCTTACCCATCACTCAACTGGTAGTTGCTGATGCCGAGACCCTTACCCAAGTGGCCTGGTGTCTAGGTGCACGTTTCTCAGACCACGCGTTCCTGCCTCTCCGTGAAGGCCAGTGCCACTTTCCCTCACACATGCTGATGCTGACAGTTACTGCTTCGTGGGCAGAGAGGAAAGGACATCAGGACTAATTAGAAAACTGGAGTTCCAGCCCTGGCTGTCACCCTAGTTTTGCAGCTTTCTGGGCTGTCAAATGACGAGGGCTAGGTCAGGTCCTTTCTAACTCTGCACCACCTGTTGGCAGAGAAGGAGTTTGACATGTTGCCTCCTACTCTAAAAGGGCATCTTTTGTCCCCCTGGCCTTTCCTCCTCTTTAAAGAGCCGGGCGCTCCATTCTAGAGGGAAGGTCTGGGACTGGGAAGCAGGAATCCTTCAATTCAACCTGCCTTCAGCTCCACCATCTGGGAAAGCGAGGGGTGGGGGTGGGGTGGGGCGGGGGCGCTCGAGGTGCTCGCCAGTTACAGGAGCCAGGATTCACAGGTATTGCTTGGACCTGGCATGACTCAGACCTGCCCTCTAGCCTTCTTTTGGCTGCCAAGCCCTGGCGCAGTTGTGGGTGGGCGGAGCCACGGCACAAAGTGCCAAGCAGGTGAAGAAGCCACTGGGGCTGGTGCTTTCCCTTCTTGTTATTCAAACTGTCAGCTGGGCTCTGAACTCTCTCTGTGGAAAACAAGCATGGATTTCATCTTTCAGAAAGCCGTTTTCTGGGAGAGGTGTCCTGGTAACTTGAGACATGATTTGGTCCATCTCCCTGGGCTAGAAAGCCCACACGGAGCTTATCTGGACTGGTTGGGGCTCTGGGCACCAGTGGCATGCTCCTCTCACTTGATATGGACAAACCAGAATGAAGCAAGCTGACAATGTTAGTTCAAGGCAGTGTTTTTGCTGGAAATTTCATTAAATGTTGTTAGCAATTTGGAATCGGAGCTTTCCCCACAGAGTAGTGCTGCCTTGTATGCGGTGAGCAGTCCTGATGTCTGTGGAGGGCTGGGAGAAGCGGGAACCTGTCCCTCCACCCCAGCCTGTGTTAGAGAACTGCCCTTTCGCCCTCTACCATCGACATCGAATGCTTCTCTTCTAATGGTGGGAGAGGGTTAGTTTTTACTTTGGAGAGTCACGCCCCATTTGTAGAGACCTTTGAGCAAGCAGAGGTATTGTGCTGAAGGCTTGGGTGGGTGTCCAGAGAGGTCACCCACCCAAGAGTTCCAGTCCCCGCTGGGGCCGGTCAGGGCAGCTGTCCCCGAGCAGTCACTGCACCGCAGATGGCCAAGGAATTTCGGTCCCTTTGCTTATTCATTCTCCTAACATTCAGGTGGTGGCTTTGGCAAAAGCCTCTTTGACCAGGCAAGTTCCCAGCTTCGTCACTTGATTGGAGCCACAGTATCTGAAATGATCTTTAGTGATCCTATTTCCCATGCACTCTTTATTCTGTGGGAGGTAGAAAGTTATATTTTCCCCCAGAGGTCGGCTTAAGGGTGTGCTTGATGGAGATCAATCAATGAGCATTGCTTCATGTTTATCATCAGTGTTCTCTTCCAATCCCTATGCCTTCTTCCACCCACCCTATTTGTTGTGCTTGATTAAGTACACGCATTTCATCTTCAAAATAAAAATTTATTCAGTCTGTAACAAGAACATTGAATCTGCACATTTGCGCACAAGTTCACATTTAAAAACAGCGGAGCACATCAGTAATAAAAAAATCTATGATACAAGTGGAACATCCCAATCACTATGAAGATTAAGGAAGGAGATGAGACCACTCTTTATATTCTGCTTCAAATGCCTCAAAAAGGTCCCAGAGATTCCAGGGAGCACCTGCTTCATTTAATAAAATGTGAGCATAAAAGTTTGGGGTGGCCTGGGGCAAAGGTAACAAGTCTATTGGACTAGTTTTCCACATTTATAACAAGCCCTACAAAATAATGTAGAGAGAAAGAAAAAAGAAAAAGAAAGAAAGAAAAGAAAGGCACCTTAAGTTATACCAAGCAAACCAAGTCCAATAAAACATAAAAACCAACTCCCTGTGGCCTTATTGACTGGGAAACATTTCAGGGCATTCCCCAGTTTACCGGCTGGATCACCAGCTCGAGTGAAGCCCTGGGCATTAGCTCTGCATGTGTATACAGGATGCTGCCGCCAGTGTCGTGGTGAGGACACAGATAGTCATATACCCCTTGGGGCCTGTTCAAGCCCATGGGGGGTGATTCCAGTTTAGAAATCCTGCCCTAGAACTCGGGGCACTGAGAAAATGAGGCTGGTTCCCTTTCCATAGCAGGAGCCAGCCTGAGTCACCCTCCACTCCAGGCTGGAGGAGTACAGAAGCACCTTGCGAGAGCTCTCCATGGCAACCAGGGACCCCAAGCCCGGGAGAAGGGTTAGGAGTGTGCAGCTGCCTGCGTTGGCAGCAGGCTTTTTCCTAATATGGGGACCGGATGAGTTGAGACACCAAATACAGTTGTCTATACATGCCTTGTTCTTTTAGGTTGAAGGGGAAAACAAAGTCCAAGAGCCTCTTAAGTTGGATTGGTGAGGAAAGAGCTAAAATTTCATCTCATCTACCATCAAAAAGCAAAACAAAATTAAACAAAAATGACACTAGCCATTCACCAGTACAACCATCACTGTAAGACACACCATCACTTAGGAAATGACGACTATTTCCGTTCAGGGTGTTGGGTGGGAGTGCAGGACACAGATGGAAGTCAGCTCCAGGTTTTCCCCGCTCACCCACACCATTACAGCCGTGCTCTGTGCGAGGGCTCACAGGATAGCCAGGTGTGGGTCCCTGGAGGAGGAGACTGAGCTGCCATCAAGATGATGCACGTTTTAATACTCACACAATGTAAACAAAGTATCCACAAATAGTTGTAAAAAAAAAAAAAGCCAAAGAATGGCTTTATTTAAAAATGCCCTTAAAAGTGAACCATTTTGCATAATGCTTTCTTAAAAAAACAACAACACTCCCACAAAAACATCTTTACCAAACATGCCTAGATCACTTCAGAACTGAATCCTCAGAAGGAACAGGTGAAGGTTTCTGTGAGCTGCCACGTCTCAGAAGCTTCAGGTCTATCCAACAGCATCTGTCTGCGGCCTTTATCAGGAGGGGACCTCAGAACCTAGGCTGTCCTCCTCACGCTGTCCTTGGAGCTCTTGGTAATTCCCAAGATGAGAGAGAGGAGATACGGTAGGGATAAAGGTACAGAACCAGGATAATGCTAGATAAAGAGTTGGAAGAGGCGAGATGCTAGGAATGATCCCAAACATTCAGAATCTGAAAGGCAACCAAAATGAGGAGAGACGAACATTACTATACTACAGTACTACATCGTCTACTATATATACACTACTCCTAAGTCTCTCCTTCCTACTGACCAGGTAGCCATCCAGATTACAGCTCAAAATCTGTGTGCTCCTGGGGCTTTTGCCCCATGCACCAAAATGTTACTTTTTCCACACACACACACACACACACACACACACACACACACACTCACACTCACACACACACACACACACACACACACAGAGAGAGGCACTGAGTAAGAGGTCAAGGCCTTTCCTACTCATCTCTGCCAACCTACCAGACCTGCTGTCCCAGGGCTGGGTTTTCCATGAACAGGAAATAGAAATAGGCCACCCGAGTTTATCAAAAGTTTGAAGAGAAGAGAGTCTGAAAAGTCCTTGATAGCTCATCATGTTCTTTCCCTGGACATCGCTCAGTCATGTAAATAACATAGGAACACTCAGCTGTGTCAGAGTCTGACAGGACTGGCAAAACCCCTTGGCATTGGCTGGATTGCAGACCCTGTGTAGAAGACGTTTATTTAGGCAGGTAAACTGCATGATAAAAAATATTTTTAAAGAATGGAAGGCGAGCAGGAATGTTTCCTTTAATCCAGTGATCTTCAACTAGTGTGTGGCAAGAATTTTTAAAACCTGTAATACCTGATTATTTAGTCAGGGGCACTGACCTCTTTTCCCTTGGATTGTCAAAAAAACAACAACAGCCAACACAGCAATAGCTGTGGGGTGTGAATGTCCTGTCTTGAACCATAAATATACAGGTCATGTAAAAGAGTTAGCTGCATCTTCTTGGTCACGTCGCATAATAAGATTGTGATAATTCTTGGTACCAGAAATCCTTATATACAAGTATAGGCACCTGATTTTTAAAAGTCACTTAGGAGCAAAAAGGGTAGGTAATTACTATTTTTAAAAATCAATCAAAATTATATCTATTTTTTGTCAGACTGGCAAAAAAATATATTTTTTTGGTGTGCTGCAGAATTTTAGTAATTATGTGTGCCATGAGATGAAAAAGGTTCAAAATTGCTGCTCTATTCTTTAAAAAAAAAGTTTCTGTTTTTCTGCACAGCATTAGAGGGTTCCCTCCCATGTTTGTTGTTATTTAATGCAGTGAGACTGAGCATCAAACACAGGAGGGGAGAAGAGAGAACAGTACAGTTGTCTATCCTGCTTGTACTTCTTAACACAAGGAACGTCACCATCTCCAGGGAGTAACATGAATCGACTCCACTCCCTGAACCTCCAGGCAAATCCTCCTCTTCCCAGCCCTGCCAAAATGTCCCGTCCTTTCCCCATCAGAGTGGTGGTGGAGTTGCCTCAATAGGACAGGGCAGTTTAGATGGATGAGCCTCCTCACACTGGTATATACCACCCAACAAAGCACTTTACAACACATTCCATATCCAGGAACCACAAAGCTGTGTGAATGATACATTTGACATTTAAGGAAACTATTTAGGGAAAGCACGGGTATATATAATTACTACACCATAAAGCAGGTTTCTACACGTATAGCAGATTTCTGTCCAATATGCCTCCTGGCAGTGATGTCAGATGCAACTACGGCTTCCACATGGCAACTGAATTCACAGCTTCTCGAGCACTTGCAAGTGGCCTCAGTCCACTTTTTCTCTCTCCTCTGAGTCACCCTACTACCTGCCCCACCGAACACTGGCCTCTGACACCACTTTGACAGTCTGTGCATCTGCCTTTTCCTCTCAGGGCTGTGATGAACCAAAAACCTAAAACTCCAGCCTGTCCTTGGTCAATCTCTCAACAATGTGGACATCAACCAAAGCAAACAGGAATCAAATTTGCAAACCTCTTCAGTTTTGATGAGGGTCCTCCATTCCAGTCTCAATATGCTTTCTGGAAGAGGCTGGTTTATGGCAGGTGCTGCTGTCCTAAGATCTCCACAGCGGCAGCAAAGCAGCGGCATCCTAAACGGACTCTGTAAGGCGCCTGCCCTTGGCGGAGGCCACCCTGCAGCCTCTCAGCCTAGTCCATGAGGAGCTTCCCCCTGGGGAAGCGGGAAGCCGTTAACACTCCCATACACTCCCCGGCTGTGGGTCAGTGAAGGCGAACAACTTTCTGGGATTTCAGTTGAGGACGCAGCTGTCAGTCAAACTGTGATCTAAAGGGAACCTTTAGGGGTTTCTCTGAGGAGGAAGTTACTAATGCATAATTTGGCAGGAGCTGGCAATTGGGAGCCTCCATTTAAACAATAAAACAACTGTCAATATACTCTACAGATTCCTACAACACCCATCAGTTTTATTTCTGTTGTCTTTTTCCAGTATAACTCCTTAAAAAAAATAAATCAAAAAGACCCTCTGACATCAATAACAAAACACTGTAAGAATATGACATTATGTACATAAATACTGTGTAAAAACTAAAGAAATGACAAATCTTCCAGGAAAAGGGGGAAAAAAACTTATGTCAAGTGTTAACAGTGATAATATCAAAAAGAAAACGTTGCATTCAATGGAGGTTATACAAAAGTAATGTAACAATTCAAATGTCATCTATGAAATAAAACAAAACAAAACAGGCAGCATTGAGAGAAACAGCATGAGGGAGGAAAATAAATTGGAAAAAATATGGCCATTAAACTCAGAGGCCCACAGAATTATTCAAGTAATGGAAGGGTTAAAACCCTATATATGTATTCATTTTACAAGAACACATTGACTTTCAATTGCTATTTTTCAAACTTGTCCCTATTGTGTCTCAGTTTCCCATTTCACCTCCTTCTTATGCTTTTCTCAACAGAGGACCTCTTGGATTTCATTTGGGGTTGACTTTTAATTTAATAAAAAAACTGATTTACTAACAGGTTTATAAAGCCAGCCATTATGATGCCTTTCTGTAACGATCCACTCTGGAACAGCAGGAGAATGGATTCTGGAAGACCCCCTTTGAAAACAGCAGAACCTGCCCACTTCAGAAACTCCAAAGGGCTGGGGCTGGGACCAGGCTGAGAGCGCGCTGATGTCCCCGCCGGCCCGCTGCCCTTCAGCCCACCTGAAGCATCAGGCCTGGAGAACAAGCCATCGTCACACTGGCCCAGGGGCAGCATTTTCAATTTCCGGCTTCACCCCCACCCTCCCCATCTGCTTCCATCCTCAATCAAGCATGCATGCCTTTTCTCAGAGGGCAAAGTGAGGAGCAGGTGGCAGTTGATTGAAAAACAGCAATTTGCCTTTGATAAAGGTGTTCTTTGAAAATGAGTATATTTTGAGGTTTGAAATTTCTAAAAATAAAAAATGATAAAATGGTCTGGCCGTCCAAATCAATCTCTCACACACACAGAGGGAGAAAACCCCAAACTCTGCATGTGCCAGGAACAGTAAAATGACCAAAATGTTATAAAATTAACCGATAAAGTGCATGTTCCTTACATATTACACCTGCCCCTTTTATAAACATTTCTTTTAGAAAGTCACATGTGTAGGCTCAGAATCACATGGTATTATAGAAAGGGTTGGTTGTCCTTTTTTTATCACTTGCTTTTTTCAGTCTCCTAAGGGGGTGAGTTCTGTGGTGCTGCTGCCGGGGAGCCAAAGCCAGCCCTGGAGCTGGGCCTGCCCACTGCAGCCCCTGGGTCTGCAGCAAAGGAAGGCCTCCTTCAGAACTAGTCAATTCCGGTCCTGCCTTGGGGAGCAAACACTGCTGACTGCAACCAAACTCTTTGGCATACTGTACAAGGGGCCTCTCCACCGGCTTGCTCTGCGCGATACACTCTGTTGTTTTAAGTTGCTCTATAAAATACTTGGTGGGCTCTGGGTTCTGGGGGGCATCTGAGTTTCCGGGGGGCTCCTGGGCCTCCATGGCATGCATGCCTGAGTCTGTTCTGATGAAGGGCTGAAGAAGTTCGAGATGAGGGGACTCAGAGGAGACAGGCTCCCTCTCCAGTAAACAGTCTTTACACAGGTCCAAGTAACCTAACTTGGCGAGGGAAGCTGAACGCCTCATTTGGGATGGTTTGGTGAGCCCTATCTGGCAAATCGCTTGGGACTCGATTTCTTTAGCGTGCGCCTTCACCACACGGGGGCTGTGGCTGAGATCCTTTATATTGTCACTACTAGAACTATGAGGGAGTCTACAGGCTACAGGTGATGGGTCCAGTTTTTCTTGTAACTTCCCAATGTTGTCACTACATTTGCTAATTAAGCTCAGGTCTTCACTAGTTAACTGGGAGCCCTTATATGGCACTTCATTGCCGCTGGACAGGGGGCCCTCCTGACTCTCTTCCCAGCGCCCCGGCTCTGCACAGGGCTCACTGTCTGTGGTGCTGCTTTGCTCTGTGAAGCCTTCCAGGTGAACCATGGTCTGGGGATGCAGATAATCCAAGTTGGCAGATGGTACGTGGGTGGTGTGACTGACAAATGGCGCTGCGATGTCCAAGGCTGTTGCCGGGCTGTTGCCCCAGCCTTCAGGGCTGCTCAGGGTGGAGGTCGGGTCGGTGGGCCTGTTGTGCTCAGGAGAGAAAGGAGGAGGCAGAGGTAGCACTTTGGGGGACAGAGAAACCTGGTCGGGGCCCAGCGTCCTGTTCAGATTTTCATCTAGTGCACAGAGCACAGTGATGGACTTCTCCACTTTCATTTTCCTCAGTCCTTGCTCCCCACTCTTTTCACTGGTGGCTATTTCACCCCCTGGCCCAGGGTGTTTGGGGGATGTGACCGCGTGGGTATACTCAATGATTTCTATCTTCTTGGGAAAAGGGACTGCCTGTGTTTCAGATTCCTGGCATGAAACCACAGTCCTCTGCTCTTTCAGGACTCCTTGCTGTTTGGTTCTAGTCTCTGACTCCGAGCACTCCTGAGGAGCCTGCAAGGGGCAGAAATCCAGCAGCTTGGGTGCTGGAACAATGACATCTTGCTCACAATGCAGTAGGGAGCCAGCCTCACATCCACTGGATTTCCCTTTGCTCTTGTTCATCTCTGGTTCCCTGGGGACAAACGGATGTCCTAGGGTGGCTTCATCACTCTTCCCTTTCGGTGCCAGGTCTGCCACAGAGGAATCATTCTTGGAATTCTTGCGAGCGGACAATGAAGTACAAGCAGGAGTAGCACCGTGGTGCTCTTGCTCCTGCCGCAAGCGTTCCTCAAATTCCAAGGTGGCTCGTCTTACAGACCCAGGGTACCACTTGGCACCTGGGTGTATCCCTGGGCCCCCGAGCTCTTGTTCCCCCTCAGCTGGTTCCTCTTCTTCCAAGTCAGTGGTGGATGAGGGTACAGTTAGGCAGCCTTCTGGGTCCCACTTCCCCGAGTCTTTGGCTAGTTCAGGCTGGGCTGAGCAGGAACCCTCAATCGGCTCCAGATTTCCAGGTTTGTTCTCCGGGGCCTGGGCCCTCTCAAGGGGCATCTCATGGATGGAGTTCTTCTTTGGTGTATGGCAGGGGTTGGATAAAATGTCTCCCTTTAGTTGAATCTGTCCAACTCCTTGACTGATAGATTCAATCTCAGTTACAATTTCTTTGACTGAAATTGCGTTCTCTGAGTGAGATTGCATGAAAATGTCTGGGCTGACCAGTTCTGAAATTGCCTAAGAAGAAAACATAGTGAGATGGTTATGGCGAATTGTAGTCTAATGGAAAATGCCAGATTTTCTGATTACTAATCCTCGGATCCAGGAGAACCTTCTGGCTATGAGGACACAAATTGTGGAGTGCCTGGGACTGTCCTCTGCCGAGAACTGTACTCTGACCATCTGTTTCGTTGTACAAGAGAAAAACAGATTCATCAAAGGCAGAGATACAAAATTAGTTACAGGTTGTATCACTGTCTACTGAACTTTCTGTTCTGTTTACTCAAACAGGATGCCAATCTAATATCTTGCTCCAAAAATGAACAGCAAATAGCGTTGGAGGCTTCTAATTTTCCTAAGGCCATGAGCCTTCAGAACTTAGATCAGACTGGGGAAATGAAATCTTTCCTCTCTGGCCTATATCAACTTCCAGTCAGAGCCTAACCTAGTTCGAGGGGAAGAGTTCCATTCAAGGGCTCAGTGCCCACCTTAAATATGCCCAGTGTTAGACAAGGCAAGGTTGAGGCTATCATTTGATGTCTGATTTGGAGACTCACTGTTCTCTTCTCTCTTCTGTGTTGCCAGTTTCTATCCACGTCCTCCCACTTCTAGCAGCAGCATCCCAGCACATGAGGGCACTATGTATCTGATCATACAATTCCTAAGTTTCACATGGCTCCTCCTGGGAAATGTTTACTTGGCTTATGCAGCCACGTGCCTGAGAGAACTTAGAAACCGTGACTCGCTGACATTTTATTGTTCTACCAGTTATGAATTCCCAGTTGTATTTAGAACAAGGCCAAAGAAAACTGGCCAATGCAAAATCAAGTCCTTTTGTAAAAAAAAAAAAAAAAAGAACTTCAAAATCTGGAAATGGCCCCTGGACACTTCTTAAAGTGACATCATTATTACCATCCATCTACTTTAACATTTTTATAAGCCTTCAAAGTACAATATTTCCCTAGTAATTGTTCTGGTCTTTCCCCTTCAGAAGAGTCAGAGCTAGTACAAACTAACAAGGTCAGTTATGCCTTTGGGAGAAATCTGCTGGGACATCAGGCGGAGGCAAACTTGCCAAGCCTGGGAGAGAAGCCATAGCGGGCCGCTGTGTACATGGGCTGTGGAGGGAGTGCTCATATGACCAGGGACTGTGCAAAAAAGCTATTTCTGTCAGAGCTGCTACACCCATTGGTCCAAAGGAGAGCTCAAGCATTCAGATTTCCTAGTGGACTCAAAACAGAGGGACAGCCTTTGGGAAGAGGAGAGGACAACTACCCTCGCATGGTTAAAAAGAGAGAGAACAGATGAATAATGGACAAGGTGTAACTATAAGTAGGTAAACATCAGAAGATGTCAGCTCCACGGAGTTCATTCAGTGAGGTTTGGTATGTTAGAGTAAATTCGTCACCATTTATTTTCCAACTACTATGATATTGATTAAAATGCATCCCAATTTCAGAAGTGTCAAAATGAGAATAAGTGTGAGCCTTACAAATAGTGATATACAGTAATTCTTTCCCTAGTCTGCAATGGTTCCCAAGAGCTCATATGCCACTGAGAAGAATCTTGGAATTCTGTCTGCTCTCAAATCACTTCCACAAACCATCCCTCAACTCCTGAATACCACAGGGTCTGAGTCGAGGAACAATTCAGGAACATTATTAACAGCAAGAACTCAGCATGGGATTTAGGTGCTACTCCAACAACTATTTACACATGTCTAGTCTTAGACTTTTCTGAGACAGAAAGACTTTTCCAAACAAACCCATCTTTTCAGAGACACAAGTCTCACTCAGGCAGCATGAGTCCCTGGCACTTCATTACGGGTGAGATTTGATCTGAACGGCAGAGGTCCAGGGAGGGGACCGCTCTTTGTTCAGCCAAGAATTTTTTTGTTTTGTTAATCCCTTCTTTCCTCATCCCCTCAGAAATGGTTTCCAATGACACCAAAAACCTGAAAAGATAAATTCTTCAAAAGGCAACTGATTAAAAAAAATATTTAAACCCTGTTTTTAAGGAAAGTCTCAGCCAGACTTCCTCTCCCACACTGCCGTCCTAAATCTTGAGCCACATTAAAAAGAAAGTGAACATAGCAGAGTCCCAAATATTTTGTCTTAGAAGAGAATGTCTTAGGTGGAGAACTATAAAGATAGCTTTTACCTTTGACTGTTCCTCATCTATTGACGATTCTTCGGATGCATGGGGAGTGTTACTCAAAGAGCTGCTTCTCTGGTCCTCAGCTGTCACTTCAGAAGGGGCTACTTCTACCACTGACAGTCGACAGCTTTCACTCCTTCCTCCACCCAGTTCCTCCATCCTTGAGTGGGAAAAAGATCGTGACCGGGTTTCTTGAGAAAGCTCTACAAACTTCTCCAGAGCACTAAAAAAATCAATGCGATCTGTACTAAAATCTGAGACTTCAGCCTGGCAACTGGGTTGGGGGCTTGGTGACTCAGGATCAGGGGACATGGGGAGGTCTTTCAGGCGAGATGTCAATTCTTCCATTGGCAGTAAGTGGACGTTCATGTCTGCTTTCAGTGCATCTGTCTCCAAATCTTCAACTGTTAAGTCTGAGAACTTGTTGGGCATTTCTGGGGCCTGTCCAGGTTGGATTAAGGCTTTGGATGCATGGCAGTTGTCAAGGGGGAATTTTGATTCATTGAGACAACACCCTGATGTACATCCATTGATGTCATTTAGGTTTAATTCATCTTCAATCTGTCCGGCATGAAATTCCCTAGAAGTAAACTCCAAGCAGATCACTCTTTCTTTGGTACACAGGCCTTTCTGATTTTCATCTTGTGGGACAACATGTTCCACAAAGACAGGAGGTATGGATGGGTGACCTTCCATGGTCTTTACTTCGGCAATCTGGTCTGCTGAGGTGGTGATCTCCTTCTTGTTGAGTTCTAGCCCTGGCTTGCAGATGGGTTCATGGTGGTCTGAGAGGTCGCTATCTGAATGAGATCTCCAGAGCTTGTTATGCCGCTGTTTGCTGTGGAGGACATACACGAGAAACATTTTAGTCTGGTCTGTGAAAACAATCAGCACCCTCCCAGGAAACCGCTCCCAGATAAACTTAAAACGTAACCTGCAAAATGCTTTGTTAATGCCCAATGGAAGTAGGCAATAAACATTTGCTTAATTTAACTAACAGCAAAAACAAAAGCAAAGCAAAAACAACAAAAACAAATAAATATGAGATCTCATTTTTTAACCTATTAGACTGACAAGAGCTAACCTGGTTGCTAGCAGCTAGTGTTATTGAGAGTATGGCCAAGCAAGCTCTCTCATATACTACTATTGGGAAGAATATGAATTTTTAAGAGTGATCTCTGGCAATAGTTCTCAAAATTTAACCCTTTAACCAGCAATTTTTCCTTCAAGATTTTTTCTTGGAGTATTACTACTATCAGTGCATAGAGATATATTAAAAGAATGCTCACTGTAACACTGTGGTCCTAAAACATTAGACACCAAAAGGAAAAAAAAGATTTATTTAAAACAGTCCATACACCTCTATGCTATGAGGCTGGTAAAAAAAAAGTCAGGTATTTTAGTAGAATGATGTCCAAGGTATACTATCAAGCGAAAAAGCATGTTGAACACAGTTGAAATGGTCAGTTCCCATGTTAGAATAAGTATAGGAAAATATCTGGAGGAACATCTCCAAACTCGTAACAGTTCTTTCAAGGGAAGGTAAAAATACTTTTGGGGAGGGCTTTACTTTCTATACTCTGCATTTCTGTAATTTTTGAAATTATAAAATAATAAGCATGTTTATCATTCATTAATAATCAGAAAAAAACCTAGAACAAAACAGCACTTGAGTAATACAAGGTGAAACAGTCTATGGAAGCTCATTACAAATCCTCATAACGGGGGTGAAGAGCTGATATAGGATTAATCACTGACATGAAAGTGTGAGGAGGGTGGTGATCTTTCTTGAATTAGAAGACAAAGATGAGGCTAGTAAACCTGGCAAAAAAGGTTGGTAACAGAATGGAAGAGAATTAACAGAGAGTACAGCCCCTTTCATAAGGATCTTTGGATAAAAACCATCAGGGGCGACACCTGGAAAAGCAGATGGGCCAAAGGAAGACCACACACATCCATCCATCCTTTGGTTTATTTTATGGAGGGAAGGTCTGATGTGGGAAAGGTATTTCATTTCAAACCGCACTCTTGAACAAAGAAGCACAGTTCTCAAAGCTCTAGCCAAAAAGAGAAAGGTGGCCCTGTGGCTGGTCAGGATCGCCTGCCCAGGGAACAGGTCACTAACTGGTTTCTGAGGGATGGTTTCCATGACTTACAAGTTGATGAAGAGTGACCTAACCGCAGGGTAAAATGGGCAACAGCCCAAAACAACTTATCCTGGGCTCAGGGCCACGCCTGCCTCAGAGGCCTGTAAATCTCTGCTGAGTCATGTGCCTGCACTGATGTGAACCCCTGTTTGTTCTCAAGTCTGCACCTGCTCTCAGCTCCCCGTGCCTGTCTGCTGCTTGGGTGGGGATCTTTCTGACTCAGGCCTGCACAGCAAAAGGATGCTTTTCTGAGTAGGTCAATCTGTTTACAAAGACAAGCTATAACCAATCAGTTGGGTGTAAGGTAGGGTTTTCACTCTTTTCAAGTTGCAAGAACTCAGCCACCCCTAGGAGGAGACAACATATCACACATCCCAAACGAGTGAGTGGCTATGTGGAGGAGCAAGCTGACTGGTTGGATAGGTGAGGCCTAACAGTGACCAACCAATGCCAATGTGCTTCCCTTTCAAGTTTCTTCTTTCATACATAGACGCCCTTGTTTCCTGATCTAAGTACGACTGTGTTCTGCAATTTCCAGCCCTCACCTATATAAGCATGTTCAAACCTGCACCGATTCCTCTTAGCCACCGTGGCAGGACAATTCCCATCATGCAAATGACTAGGAAGACATCTCAGGGAGTTGCTCTCACCCTTCTAATAATGTAAAAGAACATCTTGTCAGTCAACAGGCAAATGGGATGTTTTCATGACCCCAAGAACCCACAAGGTATGATTTTTAAAACTGCCTGCAAATCACGAACCAATCAGGAGGGAACGAGACACTGAAGTTACGCTAATAGGTACAAACAGTGCACGCTGCAGCGGAACTGGCTGGCATCATTTGCCCAGCAGGATTTCTTTCTCTTCCTGGAGGAGATAATCACCAGAAAATATTGGGTCAGGGCTCTGGAATTACACTGACACCTACTTGTAGAGGAGAAAGAAAAACCCCAATCTGAAGAGAGGTCTGATTCTGCCGCCTTTTTCATTTTTGCAATAGGACCTGCATGGAGAGTGTGGTAGGCAGCTCTTGGATACGGTCAAGATACTCACTACCAGGGCCTCTGAAGCACTGCAGCTCCATGGGCCCTTCCTGATCCCTTCCCTCCACTCTCTCCCTCAGGGGTTATTAACCTCTGTCCTGAATTTTATGCTTAGCATTGCCTTTCATTTTTTTTTCTTTAGAGTCACCACATTTTGTTCTTAATGATATACTGCTCAGGTTAGTTTGTTTTGAAGTTTATATAAATGAAATACTGTATGGATTCTACAACTGTTTTGTTGCCTAACTCTCTGTTTTTAAGATTCATCGATGTGCATAGCTGTAATTTCAGAGTAAAATTTATTTGCCCATCCTGTTGATGAGCAGTTCTGGCTATTACAAACAATATTGCATGGCCATTCCTGTGCCTGGTGCACACTTTGGTTTCTCAAAGATGTTTTATATATAGGAACAGAAAGGTGGGTCACAGGGCATGTATAAATCAGATTTTACCTAGTAACACCAAACTGTTTCCCAGTGAAGCTTTTTCCCAAGCCAGTTTAAATGCTCCTTTACTAGTTGGAATAGATGGAAGGCATTAGAACATATTTATTATTTTAAACTGTTAATATTTAAATTCAGCTGACATCCCCCACCTGGTTCCAGGTAGGTAGCAAGTAAACAAGTTGCCAAAAAGAACTTCAGAGCTGGTTTGTGGTCTGGATGATGCAACCAACTCCAGTTCTCTTCCACCTTGAGTGGCCTCTAACCTGAGTAAGAATTTGGCCTTTTACTTAGTAAATGGATAAGAAGGAAATGTAAATGACAGGATGCACATGATATCCCATTTTCCTGTCTTGACTTGCTTTCTTTCATATTGTTATATGTTTGGGAAAGCACTAATTCTATTGGAGAAAGTTATATAGAGGAAAATATTGCTAAAAATAGAATATCAGTTATAGTAAAATCAGACTGTTTATAGTTACTTCTTAGGGTATTAGGCAGCCTGTAGAAAGGAGAAGAAAGAGAAAAAGCTTCAATTGAGCATTTTCTGTGTGCTGTGCTTTAAGATTATTTTTCTGAAAAGCTATTAAGAAAATCTTTAAAAAAAAAAAGAAAAGAAAAAGAAAATAAAATCCTTTAAATGTTGATTGTGATTGGTTGTCACCTGACCAGGACCACATCCTTTTATTCTCGGGTTCCCTCCTGCTGGCTCACTAATGTGCACCAGCTAACTAGACTTCAATGTCTCTACCAGCAAAGCCAGAGTAAAAGACAACTCTACCTCCTCTGGCCCTGGAGACAGCGGTGTTCAAAGAATCAAACTGACATCTATGAGGACATGTGGCAAAAACTCTCCCTGGCCACCACCCAGTTTTTCCTCCTTGCCTTATACCCTGGAACCTAATATCACAGACACATGGTCAGCTTGCAAAAGCCTGAAATCCGAACTTGTCTAATGGAACATAAATCTGCCAGATACCTGCATGGTCAGAGTCGAGAATAACAAACAGGGCTGCTGGCTGTTCAATGGAGGATTTCAACACACACACACACACACACACACAACCCTCCTCCTGCCTCATTCCCCGACTATAAAAAATAAAATTAGATATGAATAATATCAGTGTCTTTATGATATTCCTTAGGTCTAAGGGAGAATATTAAATATTAGGCTTCTCCAGACTCTTAAAGACACACTGAAATATGCAAAAAATCCCTTGTATTTCAGAGGGGCTATATCTGTTTGGCCCACAGCCTCACATTCTGATTAAGAGATTGCAACTAATTCATAAATCACTTTGCTAAACCTCTCTTCTACCAACCAAGAGGTAAAAGTACCAAGCTGAGAGACTCACACAGAGTCTGCCATCTCAAATTAAGTGCTCAGTGCCACCCTGGACAACCATGTGGCTAGAGAATCTAGGCTCAAGGCTCTGCCTCTCTGAGAAAACCACCGCATGCTTCCTGGGAGAAGATACGAAACACAAGACTTAAGTAGCTGGGTAGGAAATGGAATTTCTTTGCAAATAGAATGAGTGGGATTTTTCTAAGGACTGTCCTCTCCTGGTTACCTAAGCTGCAAAGCTAGTCAGAGCTCCAGACAATCACAGGAGTCTGGGCTTCTTCGCTTTTCTAAGCAAACACTCAGGGTTGTGCAAGAATCCGCTGGCCCAATTCGCTTGGCAGTTAGCTTGGCAGGTAGCCTGCAAGTGCCATTTCTGACAACACATCATAGACTGCAGACCCTAATGGCTGCTCACTCAGCAGGCACCCCCACTCTTTCCCTCACTGGTAGAAGCCTGATTTGGTTGGGGTATTCAATGTCCCTTGGGTTCAGGGAATGCAGTACTTCCCTAGCACCAGAGCGTGAATGTGAATTTGTTTAAGCCAGCCCAGGAAATTCTATTTTCCTGGCCAGTGATTAGTTTTAACCACATGACCCAGTCCTGGTCAATGAGTCCTGTGGAGAAGTCTATTGAGGAGGTTCTGGGAAAGGTCTCCCCCCATAATTGAAATGCTCATTCATTCAGCCAAATGCTGTGGAATTTACATGTAGATGCCTAGAAATGTGGCAGACATATGGCAATCATGAGGAGACAAGTTCAAGGACCAAGCCATTAACCAAGGAAGGCAGAGAAGAAAGATGAAGAGTACCCAAGTCCCTGATTACATCACTGAGCCATTACAGAGTCTAGTTCTGGGCTTCTTGTTACAAGTGATGGCACATGGTACAACTTTTAAAAATACCTATAGCTGGTGTTGGGCCAAATGTCTTTTTAAAAAATATATATTTTTATTGATTTCAGAGAGGAAGGGAGAGAGAGAGAGAGATAGAAACATCAATGATGAGAGAGAATCATTGATCGGCTGCCTCCTGCACGCCTCCTACTGAGGGTCAAGCCCGCAACCTGGGCATGTGCCCGTGACCAGAATCAAACCCATGACCCTTCAGTCTGCAGGCCGATGCTCTATCCACTGAGCCAAACTGGCTACGGCTATGCTGCCCTTTTTACCCTCATTTAAGATTTTCCTGAAATTTCTTTAACACCTAAGAAAACCACATACGCTAAAAAACCCCAACCTAACAGCTTGCAGTAGCCTGTGATTCCAGAATAAATACTGAAATTGGCAGGACACATAGTATCCTTCCTCTCAGTGGGTCACGTGAGGACACTGCCTAACATCCGTCATGTGTCTGGGAATATATAATATTTATATCTCAACCAAACCTCAGATGCCTCTTTCTTGTGCCAAAAGGAACTGCTGTGTTCTACCTTCTGATCTAATCTAAAAATGTCATCAATATCTGGCCCCAAAGACCTATAAATTCTTTTTAAGTGCAGGAGACTTTCATAGCCTCCCAGCCTCCTAAGAGAACAGCTCAGAGGAAACCATGCCAAGTGCTGAGTAAATGGGAGGGTTTTTTAGTGGAAACCATAATGCTGTGCTGTGACCACATTTTCACAATACTTTGGGGTTGGAGGGTGGTCCCTCTGCCTGGATAGGCTAGAGGCTCTTTAATATTTTGTTCAGGGGAAACACAGCCCAGATTCAAGAGTCAAGACCAAGTCATGAGACTTACTGGAGTTAAACTCTGGCACTAGGCCCCAATGCTTCTAGGCAGCTGTGCCTTCACCCTAACAAAACCACCGAGAACATGCCTACATGGCAACAACGAAGCAAAATCTAGCACTCCACAGAACTTCAACATGTGGCATCTCTGGAAGCTGATCGTTAAATCCAGCGTAATACCTGAATCTTTTCCCCCAGAGCAGCTGAAGGTGGCTTTCACCATCAAAGGGGTAATAAATAATGCAGTGAAACAAATTACTCATTTTATAACCAATTACCAACTTATTGATGGAACAGCTAGTTCTGATTGAGACAAGAAAATGTTCAAGACCTAGTACTGGGTCGACAGAGAAAGACAAATACTGTATGGTGTCACCTACTTGTGGAATCTAAAAAAGCTGAACTCAGAGAAACAGACAGTGGAGTGCTGGCTACCAGGAGTAGGGGTTGGGAGAAATGAGTAGATACTGGCCAAAGGGTACAAACTTCCAGTTATAAGATTGCCAAGTTCTGGAGAATCTAATGTATGGCATGGTGATAACAGCTAATACTTTATTATATACTTGAATGTTGCTAAGAGAGATCCTAAATATTTTTACCACAAAAAAGAAATGTGTAAAGGGATGGAGATGTTAGCTAATGCTATGGTGGTAAGCTGTTTGCAATGTATAAATGTATCAAATCAACACACTGTACAGCCTACATTTACACAATACTATATGTCAATTATATCTTAACTAGAGGTCTGATGCACGAAATTTGTGCAAGGGGCTTGGCCCTCGCAGCCACGGCTTTGTCCGAAAGGACGTCCGGTCTAATTAGCATATTATGCTTTTATTATTGTAGAAGGTAAACCTGCGGGAAAAAGGAATAAGTGATGGTTAAGTGCAGTGTAAGTGCTCAGTATATGTTGTTACAGTTGAAAGGTAAGATAATGTCAACTGTTTCTGTAGGTATTGAGTTTATAAATAATTTTTCCTTTGTAATTTTTTTTTGCATTTTTACAAAGCATATACAGGATGGGGCATACACAGGCTTACAGTTATTTGTATGGAAAATAATACAGTGATTAATAAACTCTCTCTTACTCTCCTTCCTCTCTCTAGAACCAATGAAAAGCACATCCTCGGATGAGGATTAAAAAAATACACCAATAGGTCCAGCCGGAGTGGCACAGTGGTTGGGCATCAACCTATGAACCAGGAGGTCATGGTTCGATTCCACGTTGGGCATATGCTCCGGTGGCAGGCTCCAGCCCCAGTAAGGGGCGTGCAGGAGGCAGCTGATCAATGATTCTCATCACCGATGTTTCTCTCTCTCTCTCTCTCTCTCTCTCTCTCTCTCTCTCTCTCTCTCTCTCTCTCTCCTCTCTCTCCATCTTCCTTCCTCTTTAAAATCAATTTAAAAATATGTATTTATATGTAAAATCAAAAGAACTATTTCTGGGATGCACCTTTTCACCCCAATATATATCCCAATTCTGCTGATGTTGTCACATGACCCAAATTACTGGAGTGGGCTCAGTGAAACCAAGGACTGGAAAAAAAAAAGTCCAAAGTAGCAGCAGGCTCTTTTCTTTTTCTTTTTTTTTTTTTTTTTTAACAAATGGGCCAAACAATTTCTAAGAATTTCAGCTATGCCTAGAATTACCTTGGGAGCAATCCATTTTGATAAGACAGTGCATCTGGCATTAGAAATTGTTGAGAAGGGGGAGGTGGAGGAGGATATAGGCGGGTAAATGGTGATGGAAGGAGACATGTAGGGTGGTGAACATAAAATACAATATACAGATGATGTTATGGAATTGTGCACTGAAACCTATATAATTTTGTTAACTAGTGTCAGCCCCAATAAATTCAATAAAAAGGGGAAAAAAGATATTGAGAACTGTTTGTTAGAATCTACACCCAGGTGAGAACTGAAATAAGGGAATAGTATTTTCCACCCTTTAGTTTAAATTACAGGGCGAAAAATAATGTTAGTTTTCATTAAATGTCTAATCTCCCATGCTAATCTCAAATGCTTATACTTATTTTGTAAAAAACTGGCTAGAGATATCAATTTTTAAACATGTGACATATCCATGTTAGACTGTGACACATCCATGTTAGGCTGAGAACTAGCTGCAGAGAAGGACATTTTGCCTTTCCTTAGGGAGCGTAAGGATGGAAAATCTGAGGAAGTCACACTTAAGGACCCACCTTGCCAGCAGAATCCCCTGGTACTCTTCCAGTTGTCTCATGAAGCTGGGGTTGGGCTTAGTCACTGTTCGTCTTTCCTTCACATAGTCATAGGCTCGGTCCAGATTCCAGCCATATTCCTTCATTGCATAGGCAATCACAGTGGAGGCTGAGCGACTCACCCCCATTTTGCAGTGCACAAGGCATTTAGATCCATGTTTCCTAGTTTGGGGATTGAGGTAAGAGGAAAACACAATGGTGAGTACACTTTCAAAGCCGGGGTTTGAAATGTTTCCAAGTGTCCTGTCCTGCCCTTCCATTTTCTTGCTATGCAACCCATCCCACCTTGTGCACTTGTATACATCTACAATCAATGTGCAGGGAGGGTAGGCAATTCTAGTGTACTCAAGCTATATTCAATGTTAACAGTAAGCCTCTTTAATTCATTCAGCAAACATTTATCAGGTATAAGACAATGCACAAGGTACTATGAGGCACAGTAACATTTTTTCCCTAAAAGGTAGAATTCAGTGGAAGAAGCAGACAAAGTTCACAATGGTAACTGAAATGCCAGGGTGCTAGGGGAGAATTTCGATTTAGAGACTGGACCCCTGTGGCTGAAGGCCAGTCCCTCCATGGCCCCAGGGGCATGTTTCATGGCGGGCACTCTCTTGAGCTACAGGTGTGGCAGTGATTCACCTAATTTACCCAAATGTTCTCAATTGCTTCCAGTTCAAGTTCCAGTCAGGGTTCTGACCCTGGAGGAGAGCACAAACCAAGTGAAACTAATCCTCCTCCGTACTCAGATGTAGCCCCGGATATTACTTTTCACAACATCACCACCCATGTTCTGTCTAGGGACTGGCTGTACAACCCGTGGAGCTGGATGGGACCATGAGATAAATGCATCATGTGGCTCTTTCAGTAAGGAGGGTGGAATACATAACTACCCCCCGTTTTTTAATGGGGTGGAAAAACAAGAAAACAAAGTTACCATAAGGTGATACTTACAACAAACACAACTAAACCTCTCAGTCTTAACATGCCAGAGTTTATCTTGAATATGAGCATTACTTGGTTATGCTAATTCTGCTAATAACACAATGTCTGGCACAGAATAAGCCTTCTGATACTTGCTAAGTGTGTGAACAAACTTATGGATCTGCTGATTAGATCTGTCAGCTATAAGTGGGAACAACATTTTTAAATCTGGGAAAGAATGATTACTCTTATCACTAGTGTCATGGGCTGGAATTCTTCCCAAGTAGCTATTCCAATAAATTTAAAAATGCACGTGTCAGCCTAAAAGGGGAAATCTATTCATCCACTTGCTCACTGTATTATAGTAGATAAGCTTCCTTGGGGAAGCTTATAACTCTCCCGCTGGAGGAGACATGGGAAAGAGTTCAGCACCAATGCAAGGAGGCACAAGTTTAAGTGCCAAAATGAGTGAGCCAAATAAGCTAAAGGAATGCAGAGAACAGTCTGGAATAACTGAAAGTCTCAAAAGGAAGGTAAGATTAACCTCCTAGCTGTCAATTAGATGCAAAATGTTGATGTGGTGTGTTTTTGTGCTTAGATTATCCCAAAGGACTAGGAAATACTTGTTTCGTTTATGGTGCCATAGGGTTTTCATTTACACTACAGTTGGGAAGCCAATGCACAGTGACTCAGGTGGAAGTTCAGACATGTGCTCAAATATATGCCCATCAAGCTCTGACAACTTTAATGCATAAAATTTCAGGTCTGTACCTGCAGGCATGGAAAGTGTTCAAACTTGGACAATCTTAAGAAAATGCAATTATAAAATCCACTTCGATGAAAACATTTATTCATATTAAACTAGGCTTTTTCAGTGGATGGCTTCTAACTCACGTAACGAAGGATCTGATGTCAGTTTTCAACTAACTCAATTTAAGTCCCCCTCCAACCCCCCGGCGCCTAGTGCTGGATTGTCCAGATTAAGCCTGGTCTCACATTAGTAACCCTAAACTCACCCATATACAGATTCTGGAATTTAGTGCCCTGATTAGGTAAAACACATGAGGTGCCCAGTGTGCCACTCAGGAGAAACTCACTCTCAGATGCAGGAGCCTGAGAGTGAGTGCTGCTTCAATGTAACCTGGGCACCTCATGCATCTCATTCTAATCCCAGCCCTGCTGAAATCACCCTTTCTTTTAATTGGGACTGGGGCCTCACCTTGAACTCTTACTTCTTCAGCTCTGACCCTGACAACTTGCCTAGTTCTTTCTTTAAGGGACTAGACTATTCTTATATCATCTTGGGTTTAAGTACTATCCTCACCATTTGTTTCTTAACCTCTCTGAATCTTATCTCTATAGTCTGTCCATATCTATACAGAAGGATGACAATATATGCCTCCCTGGGTTTTGGAAAATATTACATGAAAGAATACACGTAAAGTACCTGGCACATAGTAAGCATGCTATGGGTGGCATTATTATTGGGAATCCTATATAATAAAAGCCTAATATGCAAATTGTTCAACTAGGAGTTCGACTGCTTGCTATGACATGCTCTGGCCACAAGGGGGCGGCGCAGAACATGGCAGGTGTTGGCGATGCTGCGCAGGCGGCAGTGGAGGCACTGCCAGCTCCAATGGGCCCGTGGGACCGTGGCAGGATGGTGGAGCAGGTGAACGGGTGGCGTCAGGCCAAAGCAGGTGCAAGTGGGGGCCTGATCGCCCCTCGGATCACCCTGCACATGGCGACCAGCGGCAGTGGCAGGGGGGTGGGGGCGCCACCTGGCTCCCAGGTGCTGAGGGAGCCAGGCCGCCCAACCCTGAATGATCGCCCCATATGGTGACCAGCGGCTGGCAGGCCCTGATCACCCAATTGGGGCCAGGCCCCGGGCTGGGACGGGGAACTGGGGATGGGCGGGGGGGGGTGGTGGTGGGGGGGGGCTGCAACCTCTCGCTGGCTACCTGGGGGCTGGGGTGACGGGGACGGAGGTGCGGTAAGAATGTGGGGTGTCCGCCGAGCTCACTCTCACTCCCCCTACTAACCTCCCCTGGGAAGCCAGGGCTTGCGCCAGGGAAGCCCTCGTGCTCCTCCGGTGCCGGGCACCCCCAAGGAGCCCACCCCACACCCCTGTGGCCTCTTCCAGGTGAGCCGGGCTACAGCTGCCGACCGCAGGGGCCAGTTGGTCTCCCTGTGGGTTTGCGCAGGAGCAGGTCTGCGAGGCTGACTGGGCGGCCCAGAGGCCCATACTGTGCCCTGGCCCATGGCATCCGGCCAAGCTCACCCCATCTCTGCATGGGCACTCAGGCGCCATGACTCAGGCAGAGGGGGGCGTGTGGGGACCTGGGGGCCCAGAGGTCAGCTGGGACCTACCCTTCCACGCCAGATGCTCGTGCTTTGATCGCCGGCCAGGCCTAGCTTTATCTATATATATAACAGCCTAAGTGACCAGCTGACCGGCCGACAGCTATGATGCACAATGACCACCAGGGGGCAGATGTTCAATGTAGGAGCTGCTGAGCGACAGCAACTTTGCAGAGTGCCCTCTCGCACTCCGGGACCCCTTGGGGGATGTCGAACTGCTGGTTTCGACCCGATCCCTGCAGGCCAGGCCAAGGGACCCCACCTGCTGGAGGGACCCTGCTCACTCCACAGACACCCATTTGAGCCGGCCGGGGAGGGACCACGGGAGGTTGGCTCCAGGGTGTGTCCGGCCCGTCTCGCTCAGTCCTGCCCTGCTGGCCACCTTCTAATTAATTTCCTTTCAAAGTGCACGAATCTGTGCACTGGGCCTCTAGTAATTTAATAATAGAATATAAAATGTTCTTCAAGAATATAAAGTGCTCTTTTAGGTGCTACCTAGAGACTAAGAGAATGAGCTCAAAGCTAGGGTATGGGAATTTAGGTAACTAAAAGGAAGAATCTCCTCATCATGAAAGTTCTTAAGAGAAGTATGGACTCATTCTTAAAGGAGGACTTTACAAACAGAAGTGCCTGTCACCTGCCAGGGATGATTTGAATGTGGTCCCACCTGAAGGAGGAGTGTGGCCAACATGCTACGCCTTCTCTATTGAAGGCATAAATAGGATTGGCAAGGAAATCCCCAGGGACTTAAAAAACAAATGAGTGTTGAGCCCTGGCCAGGTGGTACAGTTGGTCATCCTGTACACCAAAAAGTTGTGTGTTCAATTCCCGGTCAGGGCACATATCCCTGGTCGGGGCATGTAAGGGAGGGAACCGATGGATGTTTCTCTCACACATCAATGTTTCTCTCTCTCTCCCTTCTCTCTAAAATCAGTAAGACATATAAAAAAATGAGCGTTGACCTATTAATACTAATTAATACTAAACACTAAATTAAAATAATCAAATAGCTTCACTAAAAGGACCAATTAAAATTTTAAATTTAAGGAAGACATCAACAGAAAGGCCAGAGAAAAATCTCACTATTTAGAGTATCATAAAAGTAAAGTAAAAAAAAAAAAAATGAGAAAAGATTTCCCAAGATCTCCTTTATAGAGAGGAGGACCCAGTATTCTATCTGTGTGGAATAATGTCAATTATACAACTTTAAAATGTCTCCATTGGCAACTTAAGCATTTCATTCAGAATTTCTCCCTTCTCTCATTTTTATGTCTTTAGCTGCAACTTAAGTTTATATACTCTAATTTTGTGCTCAGTGGAACTAGCCAACATGAGATCATCTTTCAGGGACTTCATCTACTTACAGGAAAAGTATTAAGTCACTAGTCGTCTTTCCCCGAGGATTAAGAAATCTCAGTCTTCTTTTTAAAAACTGATTTTACAGAGAGGAATGGAGAGAGAGAAACATTGATGTGAGAGAGAAACATTGATCGGTTGCCTCCCTTTTGCATCCTGACCAGGGATCAAACCTGTAACTTGGGTATGTGCCCTGACTGGGAATCAAACCTGCTACCTTTTGGTGCACGAGATGACATCCAACCAGCTGAGCCACACCAGCCAGGGCTTTTTTTCTTTAGTTCCTTTTTTTCTGAGTACTCTCAGTAAATACCTATTTCAGGCCCCAGGCATGTGTGGTGCACATGGAACAAGGGTAAGAATGTGTTCAAGACCCATTACTTACTTTGCTTTAGAGATGAATTTGTAAGTGTCATTCCAGTAAGCCAGGAGATCCGTTGCCTCTTCATCATATACTCGAATGTTATGATATTCGAAGACTCCTGGGAAGAAGTTATCTATCTCTCGAGTGACATTCAAAATATACCGCACCCTGCAAAGAAACCAAGGGAGAAATTGGCTCTACTACTCAGGCTAAATCCAATTTCTAGCACTGCTTTTCTTATTTACAACTTTTTACTCCCTATGCTGAAATTAAATACCAAAATATTGAAGAAAGCTAAAAAACTAAGAGACTATACTTATTTAATACAGAAACTGTATAATAGGGTCCTGGGCACACCTGCGCACCAGGGAGTTACTGGGAGAAAAGTTGTCTACCAAGTTGAACATCTAAATTCCATTTCAGTTTGCGTAGTTACACAATCTCATCTTGGATAGTCTTTTGAAAACATGTCTTGTATTTTACTCAAAAGAATCAGCCTGAGGCCCATGAGGGAAAATTCCTCTATAGTCACTAAAATTACCAGCAATATAATTTCTTCTTTGGAGGTCACTTGTATTAAATTATGTATCTCAAGAAACAAACAAATAAAAACCAGAAGAAGGAAAAGTTTCCTCCTATCTTCCTAAATGCCAGATAGTCAGATTTTGCTCTCCTACTCTCTCTAAACTACGAAATGCAAATGAGACCAGAGCTGGGAGGGTCAGAGGAAAGTTGGATTTGAAACTCTCTGAACTCTCTAGGCTGCATTCCTGGCTGCCATGGCAGCAGATGTGTCTGAGGGCTCTATATTGAGAGGCCTGCAGGAAAGGGTTTCTGTATCAAAAAATTTTTCTGCTATCTGTCTCCCTGCACAATCTCAATAAATGCTCGGGTTTGATTTGCCAAAGGGTGATCTTTTCTTAATGCCGCGTGAACTTAGATATCACGGGAGTTTGCTCCAACAACACAGCACTGGCTCCCTCATTTTTCTGCAGACGCTGCTTCCTTCTCAGAATCGCATAAAGGGAGGGTTCTACAAACCCATCTCCGAAGTCAGAGAAATGACTACAGGAAGGGAGAGCCGTAGCTGACCAGTTCTGTGGTTAGGTGAGGAGACCAAAATTATTCTGGGATATGATTTGAATCTGTTAACTCAGCATCAAAGTTTATTACTAGAAATGATTTTTCTTTTTAATTTAAAAAGAAAGCACGTGCAACTTGGGAAAGTCTAACAGTTCCCCAAAAGGTTAAACATAGAGTTACCATATGACCCAGCAATGCCTCTCCTAGGCAGAAACTCAAGAGATATGAAAACAGAAGTCCACCTAAAAATTTGTACATGATTGTTCATCTCAGTTTTTAAAATAGCCAAAAAGTGGAAACAACCTAAATGTCCATCAACTGATGAATGGATAAATTAAATGTGGTATATTATGGAATATGATTTGGCAAGAAAAAAGGAATGAAGTACTAATAATACATGCTATAACATTAATAAATGTTGACATATAATGTTAAGTTAAAAAAATTCTTAAAAGACCACATACTGTATGATTCCATTTACGGTATATGAAATGTTCAGAATACTTGAATCTATAGGGACAGACAGTAGATTAGTAGTTTCTAGAGGCTAAGGGAAAGAAGGCAATAAAGGCAGCTAAAGAGTATAGGCTTTCTTTTTGGGTTGAAAATGTTTTAAATTGCTTGTTGCACAATTGTGAATGTACTGAAAATCACTGAAGTATACATTTTCAGTGGGTGAACTGTATGGTATATGTATTATCTCTCAATAAAACTGTCAGAAAAAGCCCAGCCAGTATGGTTCAGTGGTTGAGCAATAACCCTTGAACCAGGAGGTCACAGTTCGATTTCCTGGTCAGGCTTGATCCCCAATAGGGGCATGCAGGAGGCAGCTGATCAATGATTCTCTGTCATCACTGATGTTTCTATCTCTCCCTCTTCCTTCCTTTCTCTCTAAAATCAATAAAAACATAGTTTAAAAAACTGTCAGAAAAAAAATGAGCAAGCACACTTCTTTTATTTATTTATTTATTTATTTATTTTAAAATATATTTTATTTATTTTTTTACAGAGAGGAAGGGAGAGAGATAGAGAGTTAGAAACATCGATGAGAGAGAAACATCGATCAGCTGCCTCCTGCACATCTCCTACTGGGGATGTGCCCGCAACCAAGGTACATGCCCTTGACCGGAATCGAACCCGGGACCTTTCAGTCCGCAGGCCGACGCTCTATCCACTGAGCCAAACCGGTTTCAGCACACACTTCTTTTATTTAAAATAAAAATGCATGCCTGGCCAGTGTGGCCCAGTGGTTGAGTGACAACCCATGGACCAAGAGGGCCCTGGTTCAATTCCTGGTTGGGGCAAATGCCCGGGTTGTGGGCTCGATCCCCAGTAGGGAGAGTGCAGGAGGCAGTCGATTGATGTTTCTCTCTCATCTATGTTTCTATCTATCCATCTGCCTTCCTCTCTCTCAAAAACATATTTTTAAAAAACTTAAAAAAAAAAGAACAACCTTCCAACTCCAATTCCAAACTTCAGTAATGGATTATGGTAAGACAGGACTTCCTAATCCTTTTTATTATAGAGCTTTAGGCAGCTACTTCCAGTTGGAATTGGCACTCCTTGAAATTTCTTTGCCATCTCTATATGGAGTAGCACTTTACTTGGGGCCCTTAAGTGAGTAGATTAGTGAAAATAGCCTTAATGTAAAAATTACACTTGAAAAATCCCTTAAATCACCCACAGCCACATGTTTTGGGGTATAGATCCCTGAACTGTAATTCTTCACCCCACTAAAGTTTAATAAATTTAAGAAACAAGATCTAAGTTAATATCCAAATATCCAACCATACTGTCTTTTAAAACAAACAGATATACCTACATTTTATAATTTAGCCTTATAGTAGTAAACGAGATGAATAGGTCTCATCTTCAAGCGGGAGTTGTAAGTCAAAAGTCAAAGTGTATGTATGTGTTATGTGATTCCAATGCATTTCCAAACATTGCTATATCAAATCTCAGATTTCATATTAAACACTGTATTTAGGTGCTAGTTTCCCATAAGCCAGTCCAATTTTTCCATCATTCCTTCACATTTACTGGGTATTCTATAAAGCTCTGAGCTAGGGAGATGTATGTTTTACACAAAACTAAGAGTCTCTGCTTTTAAGAACTCTAGACTTAATTCTTATCAATGTAAACTTTCCAAGTTCTATTTATTTCCATATCTTAAATTAAGTAACCAGATTTCCTCCCATGGAACTCTTTTTATGATTATTTGGCTTAAGTCTTGCTCCAAGTTCATTTTAGCAATTATGACATACCTTTCTTCTGGGGGAAAAGTAGGGAGTATGCATCTAATCATGTTAAAGATAAAGAGAAGGCTGACTTGGAGCTGACAAAACAGGCAGCCCATAACCAGCCAGGCAGCCATCACTATCTGTGAGTCTCAGTAGGTCTTATCTCTGTCTACAGTGAAGAGTTAGCATGGCCAATTTCCAGACACGATTTTCTCTTCTCTTGTTGGGATGATCTGACCTGCTAAGGCCAAATTCAATAAAAAATTTAGGCATTAGCTAAGAAATAAAAAGGAACTAACGGCAATAGCTTTTTACTTGCTGACTGTTCACTGTGGTCTCAGTTGCTACAATAAAATTCAATATTCTTACATAAAAATAGGGACCAAAGGTAAAACTATAGAGACAGCAAAAAGATCAGTGGTTGCTGGGGTTGGAAATGGGGGGGGGGGAGATAAATGGATGGAGCATAGGGGATTTGTAGGGCAGCGAAAATACTCTGTAATACCATAATGATGGATACATTATTCATTTGTCCAAAGCCACAGAATGTACAACAACCAAGAGTGAATCATAAGCTATGGATTGGGGTGATTATGGTGCCTCAATGTAGGGTCCTCAATTATAACAAATGGTGGGGGATAGTGATAATGGGGGAGGCTATGTATGTGTTGGGGCAGGGGTATATGGCAAATCTCTGTATCTTCCCCTCAATTTTGCTGTGAACCCTTAAACTGCTCTAAAAAAACCCACACAAACTTTTTTTTTAAGGAACTAATAACTGCATTTGGTTTTAAACAGGAAGAAAGGCTTACACATTTGTTTCTGAAAGCCTTACCATTGAAACAGTTGATCTTTCATGGTAGGCAGGAGGATGAAACAGTGGGAGAACAGCAGTTTTAATTCTTTTTAGACTGAACTTGGTTAGAATCAACAGGAAGCAACTCTAGAGCGTAAAGTAACTCACTGACACCTCTTTGACTGGAAACGGTAAAGATCAAACAGTGATGCTTACCCTCGGTTCTGTAAATCCTCTAAGTTAGAGGCATTCCATTCAGAGCCCTGTGGAACCAAAATGAGAGGGTTAGGGAGCATTAGCAAGTGAACCAAATATAGTATTTAAACAGGAGTCCTGTGAGGGAAGCAGCAGTTTCTAAAATGAATGCCAATACCATCAGTGAATTTCCTCTATGTGCCAGGTGCTTTATGTTGTCATGTTTAGTTTTCACAAATGATAAAGTTACCTTCATTTTTTATAGATAAGAAAACCAACTCTCAGAGAATTAAAATAATTTATTTTCAAGATCACACTGATGGAAAGGTATCTCTGATCTCTGACCATCCTCCAATCTAAGTTAAATGTCTGTTATTTTTGTTTACAGTACTCTTTTTTCAAAAGCATGTATTGCAATTTTTATTTATGTATGTATTTATGTGTTTATTGACTACCTCTCTTCCACTGTAATGTAAGCTTCTCTTGTTCCATATGGAAACTCCGGTATACTCCCTGACACCTGGCTGGTATTCAATAAACATTGTTGAATGAATGAAATGGCATTATTATGAATTAAACCTAGATTTCAGTCTAAAGCCCACACTCTTTCTAGTGCATTATGTTTCATGTGGGGAGTTGGGCTGGGGGTGGGAGAGAGAGAGAGAGAGGGAGAGGGAGAGAGAGAGAGAGAGAGAGAGAGAGAGAGAGAGAGAGAGAGAGAGAGAGAAAAGAGTGAAATAGCAGCTTCTGTTAAAAAAAATTGAGGGGAAACAGGATACACAAAATTTAAGGAGGTTCTATAGATTATCTGAAAGATACACCAATTTTTAATATTTTGACACATTTACTTTCTCTCTTCTCTTCCCTTTCATTCAATATATGTCCTACTTCCCCCCCTGAACCATTTATTTTATTTTTTTTTATTTTTTTATTTATTTATTTTTTTTTTCCCTGAACCATTTAAAAGTAATTTGAGCATCATGTTACTTCACTTCAATACCTGACCATGTATCATTTAAGAACAAAAACATTCTCTTACATAATTTCATTTTTACAACCAAGAAAGATAATATCAATACATATCTAAATTTCAATAATTGTCCTTAAAAATATACTTTAGCCTGGTGGGATGTGGCTCAGAGGTTCAGTGTAGACCCATGAACCAGGAGGTCATGCTTCATCAGGGCACAGGCCCGGGTTATGGGCTTGATCCCCAATAGGGGGTGTGCAGGAGGCAGCTGATCAATGATTCTCATCATTGATGTTTCTAACTCTCTTTCTCTCTCCTTTCCTCTCTGAAATCAATAAAAACATATATTTCTAAAACAAAACAATATACTTTATATTCACTCAATCAAGAATCATACCTTACATTGAGTTGCCATGTCTCTATCTCCTTTAATTTAGAATAGTCCACCCTTATCTTTATTTTGTCTTTCATGACATTAACATTTTAATAGACTACAGGTCTGTAATCTTGGGAGAATTGCCCACAATCTGGATTTTTCTGATTGTTTCCTGATAACTAGATTCAGGTCAAGTATTCTTAGCAAGAATATTACAAAGGTGATGTTTTGTACTTCCTACTGCATCAAATCATGAGGCACATACTGTCACTTTGTTCCATTGTTTATCATGCTGACTTTGAATTCTTGGTAGTACCTTTGTGTCTGCTACATCCTTCTATTGTAGAGTTTGCTTTACAAGTAGTCATCTTTAGGTGTAAGCAATCTTTGAGGCCATGTGAATATTCTGTTTCATAATAATCCTGTTATGCTTTAAAGTTATTTGAGTTAAATGGAATTTAGCATTAGGAGACTTGGGTTCAAGTCTGAAATCCCCCTCCTACAGTGGGGCATTGGACAAGCGACTTAACCTGTGCTCATTTTCCTTGTCTATAAAATGGAACTCTCCACCCGCTCACATATTCTGTACATCTAGTGAGTACCTTCCTCCTTAAATTACAAATATAAAGTTTCTCCCAATTCCTTCTGCCATGTGAGAATACAAAGAGAAGTCTGAAACGCAGAAGAGGGCCCTCACTCAACCTGCAGGCACCCTGATGCCAGACTCTCAGCCTCTAGAACTGTGAGAAGTAAATTTCTGCCTTTTATAAGCCAACAAAAAAAGTTTCTCGCATATTAAAATGGGAAAACCTTCTCTTCATTCTGAATCCTTCTCTACACACTGTCCTTTCCCCCTTCCCTTCATAGCCAAGTTTCACAGAAACATAATCTAACATTTCCTCTAATTCCTCATTTCCCATGAATCTCAACCCACAGCATTATGGCTTCTGCCCTCATCATTCTTGCTAAGAACGTTACTAATGAGTTTTCTAATTGTCTAACCCAAGGGTCACTTTTGTATCCTTATCTCCTTGGTCTTCTGTGACTATCTATCTGATATGGATCATCACTCCATCCTTGTGGAATTAGATCACACTCCACAAATATCTACCCTCATGCCTGGCACAATAAAGAGGATCAACTAATGTTTGTTGAGTGATTAAATGAAACAAGTAAATAAAGCACTGTGAAAATTGTTAAGTGTTATGCAAGCACTATCACAATATTACAAGTGAAGTGTAATTTAGCCATTTAACTGGAAGATCTCAAGGATACTGTACCCAGGTTCCAGTAAGTAATGAACTAATCTTCCTCCTCCTCCTCTCCTTCCTCCTCCTCTCCCTCCTCCTCCTCCAGACTAGAGCTCAGCTGACTTGCTTTCCAAAAATATGGAAGGTTCTGAAGGCTTTAGGCTCAACCTTAGAAAACCAGCTCTCACACCAAAGAAAGAGGCAAGACTACAAAGGACTTCAAGGAGACAGAAGTCAAGTAATAAAGGGTTGAGTGGCTAATATGGAACCAGGGAAATGTGATCCCTTAACTCCTAATTTAGAAATCTAAATCCTCTGAGAGGGACTCTGTCCAGCTAGATGGAAATAACCCTGACATGATGGGGAAAGTCCATGGTTTTTATCTACCTGTTAAGAGAAAATTCAACCTGACAATCTGAAATGACACATATCCAGAAACAAAATAAACTAAAAGCCCTAGCTACTGTCTCAGTGAAGCCTGTGCAAAGTGACTTGGGCTGTGGCTATGGCTGCTTCAAGTTCAACCTGAAAGAACTGGAATCAATGTGGTGTAATTACTTTTCTGCCCTCAATGCAAATGCCATTTATATTGGCCTCCTGGGGTCTTCCACAGATTCAACCTCTTTTTCTCTCTGCTTCTCAGGCTTACAATGACTTAATTCCATGGGGGTTTTCACTATGTTCTATGTAATTATGAAAAGCATTTTCTAATATTCCTGAAATGTAAAATGAAATCTTGGGCCTGTAATACATTTTTAACTAAGTTCATTTCCATCTTTTTCCATGTAGGTTCCCCTACACTGTACTCTCGCCCAAAGACCCAAGTGACTGATTTTTTTTTCAGTTGTTATCCTCAGGAAATAGCCCTGTTGGGGTCCAAATGTTCCAAGCAAAATAGAAGAGAAGAGCACATTTATGGCAAGTAAGAAAGAGTGTATTGGGGTTCTCCTCAAATCAATACAACTTGACACAATCAAGGACTGGTATCCCAGGCTATATCATTTTCATCACACCTACAGCCTCAACACTTAAATTACATTACTGTGGCAACCAGGCCCAAGATCTCTTTTAACTTTATCCTATACATCTCTAGTAGAGGGATGAAAATCATGAATATAAATAAAAATAGTCAATTTGATTATTGTCAGACTTATTCACATATCCACCATTTCTCTGCACCTACTGTAAAAAAGTAACCACCAATTTGAGGCTTAATTTTTCTTTGGAAAATAAACACTATTCTACAATGATATGTTATGTCAAATTTTAAAAAATATACCAGCAGTAAAATTCTGACTACTTTTTTTTCATGAACAACATTATTGGTTGTGTGTCCAATACTCCTGTGTTTCCCTTGTTTAACTAAGAAAGCTGCCTGCCTTTCTGCAAAGGGTCTCTGTACACATCTTGCTTTTTCTCAGCCAAATCGGCCAGCCTCCAGGAGAGATTTGGTTGGGCAAATGCTTCCAGCTCAGAGAAACAGTACACTCTTAAGGGTGTGGAAGAACTTTTTCTGGAAATAGTCTGGCTTCCAGCCAAATGAATCCTCTCCTTGCTGCAGATTTTCTTTAAATTATGCTCTACACCAGTGGTTCTCAACCTCCCTAATGCCGTGACCCTTTAATACAGTTCCTCATGTTGTGGTGACCCCCAATTTCATTGTTACAAATGGAACATAATTAAAGCATAGTGATTAATCACAAAACAATATGTAATTATATATGTGTTTTCCCATGGTCTTAGGCGACCCCTGTGAAAGGGTCGTTCGACCCCCAAAGGGGTCGCGACCCACAGGTTGAGAACCGCTGCTACACGTTTCTTCTTTAGACCAGCTAGACACCTTTTCAAATAAACATCTCTGTGTAGCGCACTGCAGAGCTGAACATTCTTCCAAGGGAGGGGAGAAATCCTGCTGTCTCCCTTCACACAATCTACTTGCACTCCAGGCATGGCAGCTATGCACACGATAAAATGATTTTGCAGAAAATTACCACCACCATTTGCAACTTGGATAAGACATCCTTTTCTGTGTTAATTGCTGGGGAAGCCAGCAGAGCACAGACTCACTGGAGAAGATATAGGGGGTTGGACACAGGACATGGTGGTGCAAACAAAGGGCCATCAGGGAAAAAGTACAATAAGATGTTGAGATAATCTGTTCATCTACTTATTTTGTTGGATAAGAGTTAAATTTCAGGATTCTCTACTTTGATTTTTTTCTCAAATAAGAAAAATATTCACAATAGAAAGAACATGTCCATTCTCTTGAAAACAGAATTGTACCTGAAGCAGAATAGAGTTTCCTTTTTCCAAAAATATGGACATCGATACATATTAAAAATGGATTGTTCTTTCTATTTAGTACTATTAAAATTTGTTTATATGTCCTAAAATATACCATTTAAAGAGGGGGGTAAGAAGAAGGTAGTTCTTGAAGGGGTGGCATCAGAGACTGGGGAAGTATGACTGAAATTAAATAGGTTGGCCAGTCAGATATGGACTGTATTTGATATTCATGTCTATATCCTTTTAGGTATAAAATCTAAGCTCAATGGAGAATTTAAGTTTATAGTGCTGGTCACTTTCAAACATGAGCTATTGTGGCTATGGGCACTTGCCCTTCATAAAAATGTGATGATACATGGAGACAGTTGGGGGCAGGGTCCATTTGAATGAGTGACTCATAAGTTTTCTATAGATAACCCAAAAATTCTTTCCAGCAATACAAGAGCAGGGAATACCTGAATCCTCATGGAAGTATACACAAAAGACAACAAAGACAGATGCTTTACAAATGGAAAGGTCAATGACAGCTTTGCTGTATGATCTACATCCAGAAATAGCAATGGTCAAGTTAAAGTATGGAAAAGAAGCTCCCTTCCTAGCTCACAGCTTTTCATGAGTAATTTCATAGCTATACACCACTATGAATCACTCCATAGTACTCATACTCTAGAGCAAGCATGTCAAACTCAAAGGCTAACACCAGCCAAATAAACGAGGCATGCTGCGAGCTTGACATGCTTACTCTGGAGTCAACAAGTTAATTCAGGGCACAAGCCTTCCATGACACAAAGTCTGACTGCTTGGTGAAATAAACTCTTGAATATTCGGGGTCAGATGATCCCGTTTAGTCAGTTCCTGTGCATTTATTCTTCTCTCCTGCTTCCCAGCTTCTAATTATTTCACAGTTCACAAATATCCTCACCAGAGAAAGAATTAAAATTCAAACCAATTGAACTTAGTTCCGTGTTAGCATTTTTGGTCAAAGTGTGTGGGAAATGGAAACAAAAACAAGGTTTTGCCCTGGCCAGTGGCTCAGTTGGTTGGAGTGTCGTCCTGTACAACAAAAAGGTTTCAGGCTTGATTCCCAGTCAGGGCACATATCTAGATTGTAGGTTTGATCCGTAGGCGGGACACCTAAGGGAGGCAACTGAACGATGCTGTTTCTCTCTCTCATTGATGTTTCTCTTTCTCTCTCTCCCCCTTCCTCTCTCTTTAAATATCAATAAACATATCCTAGGGTGATCATCAAAACAACAAAAAAACCCATAGAGGTTTTGGCATCTCCCAGGCCCCCTGCCCCCCAATTTTAATTGTCCTAGTTAACCTTGTTCCCATTACTACGTACAGATGAAAACTAGAGCCTTTAACATTTAGAATTTTAGAAGCTTTCCCAATTTATCTACCAGAGAGGTCCTCTTGGGCTAATTACAGGTTACTGAATGTTCAAGAACTATGAAGAACAATTTTAAATCACTAAATTTTTAGTAATCACAAAAGTATTTGGAACTCAAAATGTAGCTACAAGGTTCAAAATGCTTAAAAATCCAATAGTCTCTCAGTCGTAAGTAGTTCCCACTTGCCCTGCTCAGATATCCAACCTTAAGACACATTTGACACTTAAAAGAGTGACCTTAAAGGATCATCCTAGTTGGGTACACTGTAGAAAACTATTACAAACTGGTCTGTTTTTTTACTTTGACTATTATGAAAAGACCAGATGAGATATTTAATAATCCATGCGGGGAGGGGTGGGGGGAGTCCTGATTTGTAGCATTTGCCAGTTTCCTTGGTGTGAATTTTCCCACCACAGTCAATCTTATGAAATCACTGAATGAGAAATTGGGAATAGATGAGCATAAGTTCACCATTATATAACATCTCCACCACACAACAGACATAAATAAACGTAAGAGCACAGATAATAGTAAAAAAATTAGAAACTGATGAGGTTTGAGTATTTATTACCTTTGTTTTTAATGTTGTTACATTTTATTTAAATATAATAAAATTTAACAGTTGCCCCTCCCCCATGGGTTGGTATGGACTATCTCTGGCACACCACTTAAACGGGCCCCAAAACTTACCAAGAACACGTGCTCAAATATCTGTGTAGGACTGTCCATCTGACCCAGAATCACTATCATTTCATTATCTATAAATTCCTTGAATTCTCTCAGGTTGCAAACCATTTGCATTTCCAACTCAGTTCGTATCTGAAACAAAGATGACATATTATACTAATTTCTGTAAAGTCCCTCTGAACTTTCAATCACTCACCATTTTTAGCCCCATACCTATCCCACTCCTAGCCTTGACACAATGAGAACTTAAGGTCTCTTACCTCTTTGGATGTGATATTCTCCAAATCCTTCTGCATCATAATCTCCCTTAATTTGGTTTTAATTAGTCTTTCTGTTCGCTCACGTTCAGTTGGTCTGAGAAGAGAGAAACAAAAATTTTTCTTAGGCAGGAATTTAATTAAGTTAATGAATGTGCTATTTGATTATGGTTCCAAATTGATAGGTTTCTATTACCTTTAAATTTATATTAGGGAGGAATGGCCAAAAGAGAACAATATTTTTAAAAATTTCTTTTCAGAATGTAAACGTAGAAATTATTACTTAAAGACGTTGTACATGTCTAAAAGCCCTTAAATATATTCACATATATAGATCCATGAAGGAATAAAGGCAAATAAGCTACATTGAATGTAAACTTTAATGGAGGACCATAATCCATATTTTCTCATCAAGTACCCCTGAGTACCACTTGCTGAGCTGGGTAGGCCAGTGATGTGACCCACTATGGAACTGGGTCTTCTGTTGCATAAAATGCCACCTAGTGTTTGTCATTCATTCATTGCTATGGTTTTAGAAAACAGGAAAGAGGCAAGAGTGATTTCTGCCTTCTTTAATGAGGCAATTTGCTTCCAAAATGGGTTTCAAGGATTAACTACCTGGAATATTTCCACTCAAAATTCTTTCCTTTTCACAAAAGCTCTCACAATATCACTGTGAAATGGTTATCCCCATATTTCAGATAAAGGAAATAAAAAGCTGAAGGGTTAAATGACATGCCAATGATCACATACACTGGCAAGAGAACCAGAACTATCAGCCCAGCTTAACACTCTATCTGCAGGATTATGTTGCTTCCCTTAGTCTTCTGATTCTTTTAAAAATAAAATTACCCTTGGAACTTTAATATGAAATCAAATTAGGAAGCTGATTCTCCAATTACCAGACATATTGGTTCAATGTAACTGGATGCTTCTCTCAAAATGCATTATTTCATATTATGCAGAATTTGACTGAGGCTGACAGAGAGGACTTTCCGTCTCCTCTTTCCCTTCCTACCTACTCAAGAAAGGTATCTGCTCTGTGCCTCCTTATTTGGAGATGGAAATGGACTAAGCCTTTAGGCATCCTGCCTACCCTTGCTGCCTACAGCCTTATCACTGGCTGCAAAAATAGCTTTAGTAATCTCCAAAGATGGATGTTCTGACCCCACAACCTTGGGGCTCCCTACCACTTGGGCTTTTAGTTTTTCATGAACCCTGCAGAATACAGCTAATAATTATACCCTGTCAGTCAGCCCTCAGCCTCCCTGTCTTGACTAGGACTAAAATTCTTCATCATGTTCCCCACCATTTTCCCTAGACATTGATAATGGTGGAGAGTTACACACTTCAGTCTTCTATTAAAGAGAAATATTGGTAAAGAACAAAGTTTAGCATCTTTGTGCATGGTTTAGATTCCCTAGTTTAGCAATCTTTATCCAACTCCTTCACACTTGCTTGAGGCAGAGTGGTTTGGGAGCAGACACATGTAGGTTTTAATTTTAGTCCTGCTGCTTAGTAGTGGTGTGAACTTGAACAAGTTCCTTCCTTTCTCTGAGCCTCTTTCCTTTTATATAAAATAAGGAAAGTAACAATATCTGCCTCATGAGGTTCTTATGAGGATTAAGTGAGACACTTTATGAAGTGCCTGGCATAGCATTTGACCTAAACTGGAGGCACCATTTAGGTATGTTCCCTTCTTCCCCTTCCTTGGATTTTAAAATATAAACTTTATTCACAGAGCATTTAAGTTCATTTGGCACACATTCTCCCTGCGTTTTCAGCATATTTAAAAATTTTTTTTCTGGTCAACTTAGGGAGGAAATGGAAAAAGCATTACAAGACAAATACACTTTCTCAATTTCACTGGAGAAAAATTCAGAAAATACATACAAACACAAGAAAATAAAAACCACTGAAAGTCCTTCTATCAGAGACAATCGTTATTAAAATACGGTGACTGATAGCTTTCAATCTTTTTCTATGAACAGATAAACATTTGTTTATTAAATTATCTTAAAACTGGGGCTATATTGTACATACTAAGAACTAATATTTAATGAGCTTCTACCAGGTGCCAGGAAGTATATTTCACATTATTTTTTTTGTTTGGGAATGTAGAGAAATTATGGGCAATTTCATTTTCCTCTTTTGTATTATAATTTCCAAATTTCCTCTAATAAAATTATGAAAATAAGAAGGGTTTTCTCTCTTTCATTTAAGTCTGGTTCAGAATGTCCATTTTTGAGTCAGATGCAACATTCATTCCTCTGGTACCCGTGAACCAGCTGTAAAGCCAGAAATTAGTAACATTTCCCAAGATTCTGAAAGCTAAACTAACCCTTACCTTTTTTGTTACTGTGGGATCGTGAAAGGATTAAGGCTAATGAAAAAGAGGTCCTAGTACCAATAACACCCTTTCCATTGCTTTTCTGACTGTTCTGTTCACACAATTCTTGGAAATTTCACCTTTTCCAGTAAAAATCATCCTGTATAATAAGAGCCTAATATGCAAATTGTCCCCTCGACCAGGAGTTTGACTAGGGGGCGGGGCCAGCCGGCCAAATTCGGGAAGGGAGGTCCTGGTTGGCAGCCCGCAGCCCCTAGGGACCCTAACCGAGCAAGAAATTCGTGCACTGGGCCTCTAGTTTATTATATTATCTGAATTAAGCCTTTTTTTTTTTTTTAAATCATGAACTATTTTGGTATTACTTTAGGAATCTGTAGACGAAGGTTTAGAAGGTCAGGTAGTAAGTAGCTACTCTTCTTTCCCAGCTATAGAATACCTTGGAAATGCAGAAAGATCAACTCAGAGCAAAATAAACATCCTGATTAATTTCCAAAGCAGGAACTAAGTGTGAAAAAAATTTCTAAAATAGTCACATAAGTTTCAACACACAGACCTAAGAGGAAATAAACATCAGCTCCACCTTAGGCCTTTATTTAACTCACAGTACACCAGGAAGATTTAATAAAATCTCACTGAGACAGACTTAACAAGGCAAAGGTCTTAACACAAATTATAAAATATTGAAAAAAAATCTGCACAGATATCAGGTTAGAATTAACATGAAACGTAAGTATTATTTTTAATTGACTAGAAACATCTTTACTTGACTTTTTTTTTTTTAAATCCTCACCCAAGGACATGCTCTGAGAGAGGAAGGGAGTGAGAGAGACACAGAAACATCAATGTGAGAGAGAAACATGAATTGGTTGCCTTCCGTATGTGCCCCAACCAGGGATTGAATTCGCAACCTTTCAGTGCATAGGACTACACTCAACAAACTGAGTCACTCCAGTGGGAATAGAAACATCTTAAGTATTGGAAACATCCTTTTAAAAGCTTCTCTTTGTCATTAATTTATTTACCAAACATTTCTTTCACAGACAATGCAAAGGCAGACTTTAGCTTAACTCCTTTAAATTCGAATTTCACATTAGTGGAATCTGAATTAATGGGATTTTATGATATTGCAGTTCTTTTCTATGGACACTATATTGTGCCCAGGAGTGAAACTCCTCAGGCCTTTGCAGACAACAGAAAGCACAGGGTTCTTTATGTGGCAGTTGTGTAGACAATGACTAATATTGCTGGGTAAGACTAATTCCCCAAGAGGAGAGATTAGGGAGGAACAGTTTGTGGCATCCTAGAACACAACAGAGAGGACTTCCATGATCCTTAGCAAACTGACTTACATGTCAGTGAAGAGGGCTGGAGAGTCAGGCCGGTGGGACTGTACATCTTGCATGGCATTCCATTCGTTGACTGATGATTGATCTGAGTTGATATGGCTCTCATAGTAACTCACCCAGGTGAGAAACAGGCTGCCTGGGTAGTAGTTATGCATTCTGGCCACTTCACAAGCCTTGTGTAAACTCTGTAGTGCAGACCTGAAAGATACGCAGGGAAATGAGCACTGTAGAATATGGAGGTATCAAAAGGCCAATAATCTATGTGTAGTTCAATCTCTTCCAATTTTTAAATCCTATAGAATTTGGTCTCTGGAGAATCTACTCCCTGGAATTCAAGATTCTCTGATTCTGATTATAGTAATTATCGGATCATAACACTTGACTAGACAGTTCGTGCTGAAAGATATAGAGCAATATTAAGGTGGGGGTAAAGGGAAACAGGAGAACTGACAACTCAACAGTAAAAAACAGGTCCAGGTACCTATGAAACTCATGACCCCATAGTTGCAGTCATGCTGCGGCTATGCTGTGTCACCAGAGAACTAAAGATGGCAACCATTTGCTATAGAAAGATATGTTTTCCTTGGCACAGAATCATGTTACAGCATACATTCTCTATTATTCTTGGAAGCACCACAAAGATCACAGATAGATGTCCCTAAACTTTTAGGATATGTTCTTGAATGTCCAGGCAGCACTGATCTAATGACGTTTAAAATTCTTGCTGCCTTAGTCTCCCAATTTCTTTAAACCATTTATTCATACACTTGAGCTACTTTCTAAGAACAGCTCTGGCTATTCTTAGACTAATTACATCTCTGACTCTGAACTCAGGAACCCAAGAAGAGTAAACAAAACTGAAAAGTACCTTTTTGGTTATATGCTTAGGAAAACTAAAGCCAGATATTCTAGAAAGTTAGTTACACAACAGCAGGGATCTTTTTATGTTTTGTTTACTGATGTATCTCAAGTGTTTAAAAGAATGCCTAGTTCATAGTTGAAGCACAGTTAGTATTTGTTGAATGAAATGTGTCTTATTAAGCTATAAACCAATGTCTTTCCTAAGAGAAAAGAACAGTATGAGAGAATTTTGTGGCCAATCCATTTCCATCTTTTTTTTTTTTTAAACTGATTTTAGAAGGGAAAGGGTTGGGTGGAGGGACGGAGTGGGATAGGGAGAGGGAGGAGAGAGAGAGGGGGAAACATCTATTTATTGTTCCACTTATTTATGCATTAATTGGTTGCTTCTTGTATGTGCCCTGACTGGAGATGGGACTCACAACCTTGGCTTATTGGGACGATGCTCTAACCAACTAAGCTACCCGGCCAGGGGTACATCTTTTTCTTAAAAATGCCTTTTAATTTGTTTTTTCCTCATAATAAAAGTGATCCATGCTCACTTTGGAAAATTTAGGAACCTCAGGTGAAAGGTAGAAATATCTTATAAAAGGCAGAAATGTATAGCTAATAAAGCATTTCATTTAACAAATACTAACTGTGCTCCAATTGTGAACTAGGCATTCTTTTAGGCACTGTAATCTAATGGCCCAAAAATAACAACTGGTAAGGTTTCAGTAGAGATTTTTCCAGTCTTTTTGTCTATGCATAGATCTACCATAAATATATGACCATATTCTGCATACTATTTCAACCTGTTCTTTTATTTTATACTTCATCATCAACATCTTTCTATGTCAATAAATATTCTTCAATTAGATACTTTTCAATGGTTTCATACTTAGCAACATGGACATATCATAATTTAACTGATTCCTATTTTTCAGATATTTAAATTGTTTTCTATTTTTTCCTATTAGAACACAGACAAACATTCTTATAGTTGAAATTTTTGTACACGCCCATGATTATTACCTTAGGATACATTCTTAGAAATAGAATTACTAGGTCAAAGGGCATGCAAAATGATAAGGCATATTGGCAAATCATTCTCCAGAAAGGCTGTTCCAGTTTATTCTCCCATCAGTAACATATAACAATATCTGTTCCATGAGTCCTTGTCAACCCTGTATAATGTTAATTTAAAAATAATACCATTACCAATTTGATAAGAAAAAAAGCACATACCAGTATATTTTTATCAGGAAAACAGACTTTTCCTTAAAAACAAGGTTGTGGAATCTTTAAAAAATGCTTTTCTATTATTTAAAGTTAGCAAATTCTCAGAGAATTAAGTCAAACTCAGAGAATTCTCAGTGATTTTCGTTTCATTATGCAGATTCAAAGGAAAAGCCAGCTTAGTGTAAAGCACAGGATATTCAATGCACGTTTTCCTCATCAGGAAAATACATGCTTGAAAAGCATATGCCACGAGCGCCTGGCACAAGTGCCCTAACATACACTCAAGCTTAGCCACCTCAGATACTGCAGCTGCCTACAGTAGTGGGAGGCTGCACTAACTACCTTCCTGTATAGGAAACACCTGGTCTAAATGCTGCTTTGATACACACATCTTTTTTTTTTTTCCTGTGACTTTCAGTTTACTTCTCCCTGTGTGGTACACCAAAAAAGTTTATTCTGCAGGAAGCTAACAGAGCTAGGACTAGTCAGTCTGCTGTAGAACAGCAAGACTTGAAATAAGGTTACTGCTGAAACTTTACTGTTTAAAAAATTAACAATGCTTTGTACTTCTCCCCAAAATATAACTGTCACTTATGAACTTATGCTGTTTGGTTTTACTTGGTACCTGGGAATACATAGGTGAGTTGCCTTTAACTGAGCCCGAGTCAAAGGCAGTCATAAGTTTTCCATGAGAAATTTATTTGTGAAATATGCCCTAAATCTAAAAATCTGGTCTCAACACATGACCTGAAACTCTGTCCTACTTCAATTACCCCATGAAACGATAAGACTGTTAATTGTTCAGCTGACTGTTTTGGGACCCCACCCACCTCAAGCCTATCAATCATGTTATTCAGGAGTAAATGATCTCCCTGGAGTCTTTTACAGGCTCCTTTATTTCTTGTTTGGCTTTCATTCTGTCCATTCTGTTCCTCACGAGGACTTCTACTACAAAACAGGCAACTGAATGAGGACCTAAAATTCAAATTCCTGACTGGGGGACAGACATCATTCCTTAGATATATTAGATCATTTTTTTTTGGATAATCTAGAAAAAAAAGAGAATAAGAGTTTATTCTGTTTAAATATAAGAGATACTTGAAGACCAGTTATGCAACCCCTCTAAAACCCATTTTCTCATCCATAACAAGGAGCTGATACTACTCTTTTGGGGAGCTTATGTAATGATTATATGTAATCCATGTAAAGCACTAGGCACAATGCCTGACATACAGTAAGTAAGCTAAAAGTGTCAATATACCAGCTGATGGTTATTATCAACTACAATTTTTTTCTAGGCTTTATTTGCATTATGCAAATAGTTTGACAAACAATTACCAGCCATTTAAATGAAGCTTTTCTATCTATAAGGTAACTCCATCAATGCTATCCCTGATTACCTTAAGAAATTGAACGCTAATGCATAGTAGTAGTGTGATATTTAGACCTGGCACTAGATTGCCACTAACTTAGTCAATAAAATTCAGTTCTGACTATCTGATTCATTAAGTATTTGTTAATGAATATTAACAAATATTATTTGTTCACCAATGTTCAAGGCTTTCCATTGTGATAATTTGAAAATTAAACTTCTAAGTCATCTTTAACTATGACGGCTACACAAACAGATCACACAAAACTCTATATACACAAACAGATCAGCATTTTCAAAGAGAATTGTATCATTTCAAATACTTCTCACAAAATACTGCTCTACTAACACATTAAAAAACTTTCATAGAGATATTAAAATTCTTACCACATTGCCTGCACAGATACAGGTTTGAATATGTGGATTCTGTTATCTGTTGATACGCTGAACCCTCTAAGGAAAAAAGAGTAAGACAAAAATCCACAAATGAGAGTGGGTTATTTCAGTTGTGCGTTTTCAAGGCTGCTTCCTAGGCTACTGGCTCAGGCACTTCATGTAGACTAGAGTATAGGACATGACTGAAAAGCTTCAACAAATTGTCTACTTTTATGTACTTAGCAGAATGAATGGACTCCTACGTCGGAATTAGGGAATTACATAGTTTTCCTGCTGTAGCTAAGGACAAACTGTTCAGCCGTATATTTCTATTTGGAAATCTTATGGGTATGTAGCAAACCTGACCCTGTTTTATAAACTGGAGCAAACATCTTGGTCTCTTGGGGACACATTCTAAAAACACCAGGGGTAGGGGTGGAAGGTCACTGGAAGGAACTGGCACAGAAAAGGGGTTATACTGTAGGCTGACAGCTGGCAGAGGCAGCAAGAGGTTATTTGAAACAGAACATATCATCCTCTGGGAGAACATTGCAACAGTCCCACATGCTCAGATTAAAGAGGGAGCCAACAAACTAGTTCCTCTTTGTTTGGATTCTTACCACAGTCAGCCTAGAAGAACAGAAGTGAGAGGCCTTGGCAAATTGCATTTTTACTCCACTTCACAAAACAGGAGTTTAAAAGGACTCATTGAGCTGCTGACATGACAATTCATGTCATGGGCACAGTGGGCCTCCCATTCAGCTGAATGAATGGGTAGTGAGATGGGAACCCCACCCCTTGGCTTTCTGTAGGAAGATAAAAAGGGAAAGCTCTTACCCATCACCATCCAAATGAATTAGGGTGTCACTCCAGAGAGGCAGGACTAGGCCCATGGTACAAGTGCTACTGCAAGACAAGAGGCAGGTCCATAAGTCACTCTCTTTTATTCTAGGCAGCGTTCTGTTTAGTCCTTAAATATTTAACAAAGAAAACATTGACTGAGCTACTGAATTACTGTCTTGCAAACGGCCACTGTCTAAAAACTCCAGGTGACTGCTGCGGACTTGTGATGGCAGGTCTCAGCCCAAAGTCACAGAACCCAACTCAACTTCAAGAATTATTTCTAATGACAGAAACCACTGCTGGCTGCTGAAGACCTCTGACTATGTCATTCATTCAGTTTTAATTCTGAGGTTTACATACATCTTTTGAACCCCAGAATACACTAAATAGTGTAAATGGGAAAGGGAATTAAAATATTCAAAAAAGTAACTGTTAATGGCTTGTGATGACATTAAGAGGGACAAGAGACCCAACTTAAATAAATGCAACAGTGCTTTGTGACTATGCACTGAACTAGCACTGCTGAAATGCAGAGTGAATAGGAATGTCAACAACCAACAGGGTAGCCCTGGAATGGTGTATTACAATATTATTTAAATCACACAAGGAGGAAAGTTAACAGGTAGAGACAGGAAGCCAAAGACTCCTAATTATGTGCTCTATCATACCACTTCTCTGGACAACTGTAATCTAACCCAGATCTCTGCTTTTTCTCCCTAAGCCTGCCATAAACTACTCCCCCCGCTCCATCCAGTTTCCCAAAGGCTCCTACACCCTCTCCCCACCACCAATATATCTAGAAAAGTATCAGGTATAGGAGAAAGAACCTTGGATGTGGGAGGTAAAACAGTGAAGTATGGTTAAGAGTACAAGCTCTCGCCCTAGCCGGTTTGGCTCAGTGAATAGAGCGTCAGCCTGCGGACTGAAGGGTCCCGGGTTCGATTCCGGTCAAGGGCATGTACCTTGGGTGCAGGCTCCCGGCCCTGGTCAGGGGCATGCAGGAGGCAACCAATTAATGTGTCTCTCTCACATCGGTGTTTCTCTCTGTCTCTCCCTCTCTCTCTAAAAATCAATGGAAAAATATCCTTGGGTGAAGATTTAAAAAAAAAGAGCACAAGCTCTGGAGCCATTTGGGCTCTGGAACCTGAGCTCTTGCACTAACTGTATATAAAATCGTAGGCAAACAATTTCATTGCTTTGTGCTCTGGTTTCCTCGTCTGTAAAGCTGGGATAGAAATACCATCTTCACTGGGCTGTTTTGAAAATTAAATTAGGTAACACACTAAAAAATGTGCAATAACTACTATTTATTGAGCAATGATACTACGCTGAAAGATCTGGATTTACTCTCCTTCAGTACTTCAATTCCTTTTGACAACTTATTTAACCTCTCTTCTCAGCCTTAATTTCTTCATCTTGATATGCAGGTAACAAGACCCAGCCTCAAAGGGTTATCATGCAAATCTAAAATATTTAAGGTGAAACATATATATTAATGTACTGATATGTAAAACAAATGTTGAGTATGAATCTGTAGTGGGTGCTCTACTACAGCTGAAAGTGATTTTGGGGGAGGGGAATATTATGAAAAAGTATTAAAAACAACACAAGGACTGACTACCACGCTTTAACTGTTGGAGTCGCTGCAGTGCTAACGAAGGCCATGCCCTAGTTGAGCTGTGTCTAATCATTTCCACTGCACTTGCTGGCCTGTGTTCTCCAGAGTCCACCAGTGGTTCCAGAGTTCAAAAGATTCAAATCAAGATTGAAACTGCTTATCTGCATTGAAACCCTAGCCCCGAACTCCAGATGCACAGTTATCATCCCAGAGTTTGGGAGGGAGGAAGACAGCTCCACCACTATTTTTTAAGTTTATGAGTGCAAGGAAAATTTGTTTAGAAAATCATTTCCCAAGGTGGAGTGCAATTATTTTTAGGTTTTTTGTTTTTATTTTTGGTGAGTACTTAGCCAGTTCCTAGCAACAACTATAATTTGACAAATCTGGAAATTAAGCAACTACAGAAGAAGATATAGAAGATGAGCTTGTGACCAGACACTAGTTAAAATTTTGGACAAATGACCATGATATGTAGAAACTAAACCTCATGTTTTCAGCTTGTATTCAGGTTAGAATGCTTTTTTATAGTAAGAAATATAGCTTTTTCATACAAAAGGAAAGAGAGGCCTGAATTAGGCACATCTATATTTTTATCCAGTTTACCTTGAATCATGAGATTTTTCTCTATTATAGTTATTTTATTAGATATGCACTTATTCAATTATTTATTTATTGTTAATCCTCACACAAGTATATTTTTCCATTTATTTTAAGAGAGAGTGGAAGGGAGGGGGGAAGAGAGAGAGAGAAACATCGATGTGAGAGAGACACATCAATTGGTTGCCTTCCACACTCACTCCAACCAGGGCTGGGGAGCTTGCAACTGAGATAAATGTCCTTAACTGGAATTGAACCCGGGACCCCTCAGTCCTCAGGCCGACACTCTATCCACTGAGCAAAACTGGCTAGGGCCAACAATTCATTGAGCCTACATGTACCAAACATTTCAAGGTGTTGGGAGTACAAAAAAAAAAAAAATAAAACAACACAATAAAGCTATCTTGTTTTATAACCTTGAAATATATCCAATGCAATTTGGAAACCAAGATTATGCTGTGTATTAAAATATTTATTACTTAAATATGCCACAGTATTCAAAGAACTTGTAAGTAGGCTAAAAGAAGTGCTGTAATATATCTTGAGAACTACTTGGGAAGAGGATGTCATAAGCAATCTGCATTTTACTTTGGTTTAATACTGTTCTGAAACATTAACTTTTTCTATTGTCAGATACAAAATGATACACATTCCTTCAACAGCAATTAGATAAACATGATATTAGATTACCTGAGCACTACTGTTCTCAAGTAGGCAGCACTTCTCTTACTGTCCAAGTAGCTAATTCAGAGGATATATGGAAATTCATAACACCAAGTTTATCAAACACAATGAAAACCAATTTTTATAGCTTTTCATATCATTTTTGTTTTCCATAAACTAAAATTTTCTTTTGCTAGGTTTGATTCAGGCAGGACTATTACTGAAGATAGATGCAGTTCACTGAGGATAAAATACTGGGCAGCTGTATTAATAAGCAGTTTGTTTTTTTTGGGAATGTTTAGGAGAAAGTAAAAGAGATAACAGACATCTTATTTCTCACACTCTGAGTCAGGAGAATCTGAATTTGTTGCCTTCTCTCTCTAGGGCAGCAGTGCTCAACCTGTGGGTCGCGACCCCTTTGGGGGTCGCACAACCCTTTCACGGGGTCGCCTAAGACCATCAGAAAACACATATATAATTACATATTGTTTTTGTGATTAATCACTATGCTTTAATTATGTTCAATTTGTAACAATGAAATTGGGGTCACCACAACATGAGGAACTGTATTCAAGGGCCAGAAGGTTGAGAACCACTGCTCTAGGGGAAGACCCAAGTGAAGTTTCCGTGTAGCCCCAGTGCCTGTTTTAGGGGGGCTCCAAAGGAGGAGTCGGGATGAAAGAAGCAAAGGAAATAAGATCCGGAGCAGCGCTGTCCAACTGAACTTCCTGCAATGATGCAAATGTTCTACATATGTCCCGTCCAACATGGTAGCCACATATAGCTAGGGTACTTGAAATGTGGCTAGTTGTAACTGAGAACTGAAATTTTAATTTTATTTAATTTTAATTTATTTAAATAGTCATGTTTGGTTAGTAGCTACCATACTGGACAATATAGATCTAGAGATATAAAAACCCAAATCATAGGTCTTAAAATACTAATGAATGTAGGCAAGGTTGGTGATCTTAGAGGATAAATGTTTACTGAAAGGTCTGTTGCTTAGCTAACACCAGAGGTTAAAACCATGCAGGAGGAACAGCTTCCTAAATGTGGCTTACAGACTTGCGTAATTTCAGAGCACACAATTAAAGGCTGTAAGTGGTGTACAAGGTAACAACTCTCACCTTTGATCTTGTGAACCCACAAATCATTTTCAGGCTGACTGCCACTACAAGCTCAGGTAAACACTAGTTTGGGAAACTTTACTGTGACAATGTAACCCCCACCCCCACATTAAAACAAGTAGAATCACTCCCAGTCTCCTCTTCTCTTTGTGGCTAAATTCTCCCAGGCCTGGGTCACACCCCTCGCTTCTCCACAGTTCCATTCCAGTCCTGAGCCAGGAAGTCAATGCTTTGAGACATCTGGCAGGATTTCCTGAGGCCTGCTATCTAGAGCGCAGAGATCTGCTTAGCAGTCACATTCCACAGCCTTCCCAAGGTCTCTCCAGAAAGAGTGGGAAAATAAAAAGAAAAGCAGCAAACCTTAGAGATACAATAAAGCCAGGTTTTGTGTCACGTCTGATATCTCTAATCATAGGACGCAAAGTGCCACTAAAGTCAAAGGTGCATGATTATAAAAGTTTCTGTTTTGAGTTTAAGGAAAAAGGAAGCAAAACATTTGATAAAGCAAGGTGTAAAGCCATGAATAAATACAAGAGAATGGAGTTAAAGTGGGCTCTCTTTGAACCTAGGACTCGTTGGTACAGTATCACTAAAGCAAGTCATTACTGCTTAAAGACGATTGCAAAGAAAGACAGCTCCTCCCCTCACCCCTCCTGGAGATACAAGTTAAAATCGTCTCCACCTAAAGACGAGAGGAAGGTAAGGAATAGTGTAAATTAGAAACACATTACCAAAGACATTCATTAAACATTTTCATCTCTCAAGATTGTGTGACTAAGATATTTTTGTCTTCTCTAGTTTTAAGCATTTAACTTTAAGAGTAGCACTGCATGTTTTTGTGATAATTCAAAAGACAACTGGAATAGGTTATTTAAAAGGAGTCTTCTTGTCCTCCTTTTGTGATACCATACCTGTCATTAGAAGAGAAATCCATTCCTAGAACGATGCTTTCTTCAGTGTCTTGTCTACCATTGGTTGAAACCACTACCATATAACGTGTTCGATTCTGGTAAGTACTTTCTAGTCTTACAGCCTGGAGGTTAACAGACAACAAAGAAATTATGAAATTTAGAAGGTCAATTTTAGATCATTCAACCTTTTTTACATCAGCATCTTAAAACATACTTAGGGAGATAGCAAAGCCAGTAGTTAGAAGACCTACATTCAAATACCAGCTCATGTATTAACTATAAAACCTATAAATGTTACTAAATTAATTGGAGGGAGAAATAATAATACCTATCCTATTGGGTTTTGATAATAAAATAATGCGTGTACAGCACAGTGCTTGGCATACAGTAAATAAATGCTCAATAAATGTTTGCAATTAGCACAATTTATAATAATAACAATTACCAGGTCATGTTCTAAAAATTGAAGAGGGGAATGTGAGGTTGTATGAATGGGAACATTGGACTCACAGATCCAAGTCCCATAAACAATTATAATACAAAGCAAACTATTAATATCTAAGAGGAGTTGCTCTATTGAATTCCTATAGATTATATACTATAAAATTTCTTTAGTGTCAATAACAATTGAAGCTTATATTATTTTTTATCATAAAGTTTATATTTATTGCTTATTTATGATATTTTAAAAGGGCCTTCAGAAAATTTGAATATGGACATGGTCTTAGATGATATTAAGGATTTATTGTTAGTGTGATAACGGCATCAAGATAATGCCTTTTTCTTAAGTATCTGAAATGAAATGACATGGTATTCAAGTTTTACTTTAAAATATTCCAATAATGGGAAGCAACTAAGATGTTCTTCAGTAGCTGAATGGAAAATCAGTGGTATAGCCAGACAATGGAATATTATTCAGCACTCAAAGGAAATGAACTATCAAGCCATGAAAAGACATGGAGAAATCTTAAATGCATACTACTAAGGGAAAGAAGCCAATCTGAAGAGACTAGGTACTGTATGATTCCAACTCTATGACACTCTAGAAAAGGCAAAACTCTAGAGTCAGTAATGATCATTGGTTGCCATGGGTTAGGAAAGCACGGAGGATTTTTAGGGCAGTGAAACTGCTCTGTATAATACTGAAGTGGTGGATACATGTCATTATTATTCTTTTTTAAAAAAATATTTTTATTGATTTCAGAGAGGAAGGGAGAAATAGGGAGAGACAGAAACATCAAAGATGAGAGAGAATCATGGATTGGCTGCCTCCTGTATGCCCCCCACTGGATCGAGCCTACAACCCGGGTATGTGCCCTTGACTGGAATCAAACCCAGGACCCTTCAGTCTGCATGCCGACGCTCTATCCACAAAACCAAACCAGCTAGGGCTACACGTCCTTATTAAAACCCATAGAATGTACAATACCAAGAGTAAACCCTAATGTAAACTATGGACTTGGAGTTGATAACGATGTGTCAATGTAGGTCTATAAATTGTAACAAATGTACAACTCTGGTGGGGGATGAAGATAATGGGGGAGGCTATGGGGATAGAGGGTATATGGGAAATCTCTGTACAGTAAGTCCTCACTTAATATCACTGATAGCTTCTGCGACTTTAAGCAAAACAACATATAACAAAACCAATTTTACCAGGGGCTAATTGATAGAAGCAAGCTATGTTCCTGTGGCATCTCATCAATATTGTAACAGAAAACAAGGTTGAATGAAATTACATTAGTTGAGGACCTGCTGTACCTCCTGCTCAAATCTACTGTGAACCTAAAACTGCTCTAAAAAATAAACTTTTGCAGGTTAGGGATACGTTCATGGCATAGAATGTGGTGATGGTTTCATGGTCTTTACTTATTTCCAAACTTATCAAGTTGTATACATTAAATATGTACAACTTTTTGTATGTCAATTATACTTCAATAAAGTGGTTTAAAAAATGCTCCAACAAAAAAAGAAAAAAAAGGGGGAACTAGATGAAAGAAATCTGGCAAAATGTTGATGGTTATTAAAGCTGTGTAATGGGTTCATGAGAATATATTTTGTGCTTTATACATTTGAGAATCTTATTAATAAGAAGCTCAAAAAGATACTTTATAAACCTTAAAAATAAAGTAAAATCACTTCCACTCAACATTCATTCAAACATTTACTATATATCTATTGTGTATACAGTCAGAGCAGAAGTGCTGAGGATTCAAGGGTGGAGAAGAAAGAGAAATATAGTCCCTACCCTCATGAAGTGTATAGTGTAGTCCGTTCTTTTTCTCTATTGACAAAAAGCCAGGGAAATGTGTACTAGAGGCAATTTCTTCTGTATAAAACAACCCCACCCACATTCCTTATCTCAGAAGAGAGAGTTCCAAAACCATTAATTGGCTCAAGACAATTGTCAGAAATTTCTTTTTGGAATTCTTTCAGTACTGTTGTTCCTCTTGGAGTCTCCTTCCTCTAACTCCATCACTGGCCAGGCAATGGGAAAAAGAGACATAGTTACATAGCTCAAATGACCCATTTACCAAGGTAGCGGTGAGATTCCATAGATATCTTTTTGTCTCTATTCTGACACTCCTACGAAAAGCCAGGGAAGCACAAACAGCAGAAGTGGCTACATTAAAGCTTGTTTCTACTAGGAAGTGATACAAGAAGTAGTGTTCACCATTCTGATTCCAAGTACACAAGGTAGAGAGCTGCACTGCTGGCTTTGTGTTCTATGAAGAGAGCAGTTCAACCCAAATTCACTGTGAGAAGCTAAGAGGAACTAATACTTAAGTTGATGAAGGTCTAGCCCTAGTGTGCTGGGACCAAGTGAGCAGTATACACATAGAGCTGTGGATAGGAGTACATGCAACGTGAGGTCTGGAGGCATCATCGACTCTGATTCTAGAGATGCTTCACAAAATATTAAACTAATCAGAAATTCAGTGCAGGCAAACTAGAGTTTCTTATAAACAAGATCTCAGATATTATTATATATCTAAACTTGGGCTTGCCCTGGCAAGCTCTGAGCCAAATGTTCACTTTGCTGAATATGTTAGAGGCGCTTTTATCCTCTGTCAAGGCTCTGAGAATTTCTGGCATGGCTCAAATACAAATGGCATGGGAACAACTGAACTGCGGTTCTGATAATTTACTGACAGCTTCTACACCAACTAGTGGCAACTGATTAGCTAAGCTGAAGCTGATAAAAGGAAAGAAAATAACCTCCATAATTATTAACTATCATGCATGTTATCGGGCCAAGTTAGCATGTGGGCAAGTTTCTTTGTAATATTCAGTGCAAACACTAGTTGTCTCCTTTTATTTTTTTAAAACCCTGACCCAAGGATATTTTTTCCATTGCTTTTTAGAGAGTGGAAGGGAGGGAAAGAGAGAGAGAGAGAGAGAGAGAGAGAGAGAGAGAGAGAGAGAGAGAGAGAGAGAGAGAGAGAAAGAAAGAAAGAAAGAAAGAAAGAAAGAAAGAAAGAAGAGAAGAGAAGAGAAGAGAAGAGAAGAGAAGAGAAGAGAAGAGAAGAGAAGAGAAGAGAAGAGAAGAGAAGAGAAGAGAAGAGAAGAGGGAAACATTTATGTGAGAGACACACTAATTGGTTGCTGGGGATCCAACCTGCAACCCAGGTATGTGCCCTTGACCGGGAATCGAACCTGAGACCCTTTAGTGTGCGGCCGACATCCTAACCACTGAGCATACTTGCTGGGTATATTTATTCTTCCTTCCCTTCCTTCCTCCCTATTTATCTATCAATAATATACAAAGCATTTCAAATGTTTGGCCCTTATGTCAACAGATCATTCCAAACCTAATGGGAAAGGCCCCAGTCATCTCATTCTGATTTAGGCCTAAATAAGTGGCATATCTCAGATTCACTGAATTTTAAGCTTCTTAGATGGAAAAACAGCACTTAGAGGTCCTGGGATTTGATGATGGACCTCTAGATAGTATCCACAGGAATTGCTAAATTTTTACTAATGGGAAGTGCAGCTTATTTAATCAGGGGGTCAGGAGCCATGACATTACTTCAACTACAACCTAATTAGAAGAATGAAATGAAATTTTTTACAGAAAAAATTCTTCAATGTCAGAGGATTAACCTCAGGCTCCAAAATTCTTCTTAAGCTTCAAAATTCTAGGTTAAGGAATTAAAATTTTGCCAAAACCGATTTGGCTCAGTGGATAGAGCGTCGGCCTGCGGACTGAAAGGTCCCAGGTTCGATTCCGGTCAAGGGCATGTACCTGGGTTGCGGGCACATCCCCAGTAGGAGATGTGCAGGAGGCAGCTGATCGATGTTTCTCTCTCATCGATTTTTCTAACTCTCTATCTCTCTCCCTTCCTCTCTGTAAAAAATCAATAAAATATATTTAAAAAAATTTTTTTTAAGAGCCAGAGTATTAAGAAAAATCAAATATCCACCCTGTTTTGAGGTTCATTTCATATTTCTTTTTGGGGGGAGAAGATTAACAAAACATAATAATCTAATTTAATTTACTAAGCCAATCAGAGAAATTTAACTTAAAGTGGTAGTTTGTACATAATAACCTAATATTAGAATTGGCAACAATTCCAACATTTCTAGTCTCCAGAACTTACATGGAATAAATGACTGGAATAAGACAATGATTAAGATGCATCTGATTAATGAAAGTTCTCAATGAAAAGGATAATACTGCAGTTTATTTTAATTGTCCACACAAAACATATTTTATATTTTTAAACTTAGCAGCAATAGCAATTGAGAAAATTATTCCAAGAAAGTCCATTTATTGACTACATTTGAAATCCTATTACAAGTTTCAGGTGAACTGGATCCAGCAATCCTAGGACTGAGGTAGGTCTGAGAAGTAATCTGCTTTTGCTTTATTTCGGAGGCAAGAACCAAACCTGATTTCAAAATTTATCTATAAAGAGTGATGTTAAAACTTCCCTCAGTAACTAAATTTAAATGTATCTGATTACAAGCAGCTCACAAATACCATCTGATCCAATAACTTCTCTCCTCAGCATCATCCAATATCAGGAAATACTCCTCCCTAAGCTTACACTGTATCTTTGCCTTTAATTTTTTTTTTTCCCACCAAGAGTCTAACATCATGTCCCTGCATGCAATGTTTACCTGCACGGAAGCCACGTTATAAAGTCCCAACGTCTAGACAGGCAGCTCACCCAGTTTATTAGAGAAAGCTTTCAAAAGTATGTAAATATTAAATTCTTGCCAAAAGAACAAAGCAAAGTCAATATCAAAAATTAAAGGAGACTTTATGTGACACTAGTAAATTAAAGAACACAGAATTCAAAAGTAATAGAGCTTGAGGGAGTCTTTGGATATTATTTTTTAAAATCTATCTTTATGAAATTCTTAAAGAAGAAAAAATCTGACATATTCTGTGTAGCTATTAAAAAAGTTTTATTTACTGACATGGAAAAATATCCACGATCAAGTGTGAAGAAAGAAGATTATAAACAGCACTCGTATTTTCATCTATTTTTGTAAAAAAACACAACTCTCTCTGGCATACTTTTGCTTAGAACTACTTAGCCTTTTATTTCATACGTCCCCCAATCTCATTCATCCATTAATAAGTTCTCAGTTATCCACTGTCACCTTTATAAACACACACACATGCACCCACTTGTGCATCCCCCTCCCACTACCCCCAGACATAAGCCCTTATTATCTTAAATTACTTTATACTTTTGCTTCTTAGAATTACAGAGATAATGCTTTAGACAGACTAGAAGGTTTTCGGATGCTCAGATTTGGCTATTTTCATCACTGTCCACCTTAGTAAGAACAATTCTCAGAATCATTCTCTCTCTCTCACTCTCTCTCTCTCTCACACACACACACACACACACACACACACACACACGACTAGAACACACACACACACACACACACACACACACACACACACACACGACTAGAAGGGTACTTATCAAAATACTTTAGGCCTTTCTGTATTGTCTGATTAAGAGAAACAAAAACCAATATATTTATACTTAGAAAAAATAAACCCATTTTCTTTTTGGAAAAAAAATTGTTAAAACAAACAAACAAACAAAAAACTCCTTTTCTTAAACTCTCCTGCAAAGTACTCAAAAACACCTCCTCTTATTAGCACACTTCAGCTCTAGTTAAAAACATTAGTTGATATTAATTCAAATGTTAGAAAAGTCCTTAAATTCCCAGTCTATTTTTTAATAAATAAATGGGTCTTTGATAATGTGCAACAGTACTATAAAACCACTGTCTTCATTGTATCAACTATGGTTTTCCTAAGTACTAAAGTTAATGCTTGAAACTATTTTGAAAGCAGGGTTCTCTGGAGAAAAAATGTAGTCCTAATTTTAATGCTGAAGCAAAATGTGGGATTTGGTAACTCTATTTGTTGTTGAGTTATTAAAAAATTAAAGGCAGGGCTTTCAGTTGACTATCAAACTTTTAACCTTATGCCCAAGTCCCAGAATGAGAGTTTTAGCATTCCAAATTTAACTCAAAACAAAAGGCTTTGCTTTGAGTCTACAAACGCTCCTTTCAGTTAGAAAAGTGCTAATTTGTCCAAAGCACACAATGTATTCACTCATTTTCTTGAAGATGACTCACACAATAATCTGAAACATAATGACTATGTGTTTGTAACTATTCAAACAACTGTAAAAAGGCTTGTCATTTGAACTCTGAATTAATTCAGAGGCATCAGTTACATTTTCTGAATTTACATTTTAAATATGCAAAGCAGCTGAAGCAGCATATTTTAGCAGGGAAATAAAAAATTTAATTGCTAATTCTACCTTCCTAATTGCTCCCTTAATGTTCTCCCATGCCTCTTGTGGTTAAAATTATTTTGACATTTACTAGTAGAGGTGTAATCAAACCCATAGGTTATCAATGAGAAAAAAGAGTGAGCGACAGATGTCAGATTTAGCTCTACCAAACCACACAATTTTTGGAAACTATCAAAAAATATGTATTGGACACATGATATATGCAAATAACCATTATTATGGGTTACTCAGCAGGTAGAGTCCAACAAGTGGCAGTTTCACAAGGCTCTGCAGGTGATTCTGCTGTACTCTATAGTTGGAGTATCACTATTTTGGAATAGTAATGCTGTAAGAACTGTATTCCACTTTGTTCATTTATTTAAGATAGAAGTATGTAAAGAAATATAGAAAAAATTTGTAATATAGAAAAGTGTATAAGTGCTACTTTAGGATTAGAGTATAAAATAATTACAAAAGGATTTCTTATTTCAATTCCTTTAAATTTCAAAGTTAATTTTTCAACAAAAATTAGTGGTCATGCCAAGGTGATAGAGGCAGCAATTGAGAGGGAATAAAAAGACATAATTTAAACAAATAATAATTATGTGAATAAAGAATCAGTAATTACCATAGAGTTCAGAGGCCTCATCATCAACTTTCTAGTCATTCTTGTATTCTACTCATTATTTCTCTTCCCAGAGAGAAGCAGAGATCAAGTACTTGAACTTGACATTACCCACCTAACCTGGAAGAGTTCATCATCACACACCTGGATTATTGCAATAACTACCTAGCAGGCCTCCCTAATTTCAGATGTCCACCTCCTCCCCTTTATTCTGTATTCGCTTATGAGGAATTTTTCTTAAATACTGTAGCTCTCCCAGTAATTCCTTGGCTCAGAAACCTGTAATGCTTTACTACTGCTTACTGCAGAGGTAGAGGCACCACCTCCAGGTGTTAATCTAGAGGTTCAGATAGGGGATATAAATGAGTGAAGTAGGCCATGTGAATATTAAGTGCGTAGAAAAACTTTTCACTTTCCACAAAGAAACATACTCATCCCATTTTTGTTTTCCTACTTCTATGAGATGTTTTACTCTAAGAAAACAGTGAAGGGATGATCACAAAGGGTGACACATGGCTTTACTGTCCAGGAGACAATAGTATATGTGGAGATTACGGTAGATTAAGAACCCAGGCCACATCAATGCTCTCCCCTCCACCACATCTAGTCAAGTTTGGCATAAGAGAACAAGGTTTCAGTGTTGCCAGAATTTTGAAGACAAGACTCAAGTCTGGATTTTTATGTGAAATCACCCAACTTTAAAATTCTGGCTGAGATTAAACAAACAAACCCTAAACAAGGTATCAGTCCAAACAAAACATATCTCTGGCCTATGGACTAGGAGTTTGAGACCTTTAGCTTGGAGCATGAAGTCCTTATCTGTCTGCCTTGTTTCTGGTATCTTATCTTCACTATAGTAACAATAGTCCCCATATTTAGGTAGCATTTTATACTCAGTATGCTTTCACATCCATTTGATTCTCTACACTGTGAGAGAAGATGGAAAGCAGGCACAGACAGGCTAAGCAACTTGTCCAACATCAGATGAGAAGTAAAAACTAAAGCCCAGGTCTCCCAACTCTGAAACCAGCATAAAACCTTGGCCATTTCACTCTCATCTTGTCTCTTTCTAGTGTGCTTTTGCTTCAGTCGTGTCCTCATCTAGAATGAAGGTCTCCTTTCTTCTTGCAATGTAAGTCAAGACTCAGCTCAAGCTCTACTACCTACATAAAACCTTCTTCAATGAGGTCAAGTCTCCAAGTTTCCTCTTTTCAGAACTTCAATTGTTGTTATGGTCAATAACCTACAAACTGGTTTCATCAACAGTCTTGAATCATCAAATTATTTTACATCATTTCACTTTAGCTCATATCCTCAATTATATTCTAAGCTCTTTGATAATAGGGACATGCCATTCTTTTCTTTCCATGGAATTCCCAGTACTGTGCTGGGACATAAAAATGACTGCATAAAGTTCGACGTATTGGACAGTCTTTTGAGGAAGAGAGTTACAGGATACACTAACTTACCAGTCTGATGTTGTCTTCTGGGCGGAGTAATATGAACATTGCTTGGAGATGCTGTTGGAGATCACCTGGTGAAATTTACAAAACAAAAAAAATAATTATTCTCCATTGCAATGTCAACATAGAGCAGTGGTTCTCAACCTGTGGGTTGCGACCACTTTGGGGGTTGAACATCCCTTTCACAGGGGTTGCCTAAGACCATCGGAAAACACATATATAATTACATACTGATTTTGTGATTAATCACTATGCTTTAATTATGTTCAATTTGTAACAATGAAATTGGGGTCACCACAACATGAGGAACTGTATTAAAGGGTCGAGGCATTAGGAAGGTTGAGAACCACTGACATAGAGGATTCCTTCTATTCTAATGACGTGTGAAAGTTTTGGTTCACTGAAGGACTATAATTATGTCCACTTTTAGTCTATACTACAGTAACACTTGTTTGTGTTTGTCCTATGGAAGGGACACTTGAAACCCATCTCCATTTTGTACTTTGGTGGGTGTTGATGAGAGTGGGGGTGTGAAATCTGTTGGGCAAAGGCAGCACTGGCTGTGCTTTCAGGCCCACAAGAAGGTACCAATGAAGGAATCTTGCCATTCTTATTTCTTTAACTATAATCTTCAGTTGCACTTAACCTAAGAAGATGTTCAGATTTCCCCCTAGAATAATGTCAACAGTTTAAAATTATTTCCACATTAGTGGCTGACATTAAAATAAAAGTACTTATTAAATACAGCAGATCCCAAGGGATATATATCTACTGAACATATTAAGCATTTTAAAATGGCCAACCATTACTTGAATCCTCACTTGTGCTTATATATCCTATAAAACAAAGTTGAAATTTCTTTGTATTAAACTATTATAGATTTCCTTATTCTCTATTCTGTACTAGGAAATCTGAGGCTTTAGATCTTAGGAGATAATCAGATAATGTACTATCATAAATGAATACAATCAGAGAAGAAACACCTTCATTTCTGCCCATCCAGGTCCATCTCTTCCTTAAGTCTAAAGTGACAAGAAAGTGTTTGGATATTTTAAATGAAGCCCAGATAAGAAATTCTAACTAGTGTAAGACACATGCATAAGAAAGTACAATTAGACATAATAAGCCCTTGATCTGCTCTCAATTCTGCCATCATCTTTCAGTCACTGTGAGGTCAGCCAAGGCAGCTCCAGCTTATGTGAAGGTCTTGTTTTGTAAGCTGTGTTTACACCCACACTGCCTCATCTGTTCTGGTCTGGATTACAAATCAAGCCCATTCAGTTTGTGTTCAATCTGCTTTTCTTTTTAGTATGGGGAAAGCTAAGTGAACAAGGTCAAGTAGAAACCTGGGTGGCAGTTGAGTGTGGAAGTTGACGAAAGAAAAAGGCCAACCAGGGCCAGGAACTTTGAAAACCGGCAACCCCACTTACTATTACATGCCACAGAGCAATCTGCCTAACATTTTAGTCAAGCAAGCTGGATTTAAACCAATATTTTGTCTTCTCTTACTGTCAGTGATAAATATCTACACCAAACAGAAATACAAAGCTTAGCTGGGTCTACTTCCTCTGTGCATTTAAGTTTTTGGGGGAAGTGTCCCTCCCCTCTGATGGTGGGCACTGAAGAGGAAGGTTTTAGAAAGTGTAATCCAAAGCTAATTTTTCAAAAGAGTTTTTTTCCCTTACTCTTTTAAAAATTTTCCATGCTGGAGAATTGTGGTAGGAGAATAATACTGTCCAATGAGATAAATTATAATTCTGAGCTGCTACATTTATAACTAGATGAAGGTTCAAATAAGAAGTAGGACAGTCACTAAAATAGCTGAGATTATCTGGACTGGAGCTAAACTCAACTACTGGCTCATGGGATCCAGTATTTCTGGCTTTCACCTCTGACCTACACACTCAAGGTTTACAGTTTTCTTTGTTCTCTTTCTGGTAATTCCAATATATTTCACTCCTTGAGGTAACACATCCAAGTGGCACATTTATAACAATAAGTGATCACTCTTTGAATAGCATTGATCAGGATTTTTCAATTACTGTCCTCAGGTTGACTTTCATTCCTCCCCTCCCGACCCAATGACACAAACAAGGCTTGCTGTCAGAGGAGAGGCATACGCTATCTTCCCAAACCTAGAGACATCCTATACCTAACGACCATTTTCCCTTCTTCCTTACCTTTATCAGCACAATTGCACCTGACTTTAGAGAAATCCAACATATGGAAATATAAACGCATATAACTACTATTAGCAGGTGTGATATTGTGATTTATAAAATATATATATTTGGTCTTCATCCTGTTCCTGGCACAGAGCTCCAAAAACCCTCGGAGTTTCTGAAGCTGAGGAGAGCAAGCATGGTGTCTTTTGTTATGTTAATGACACAACTTTTGGAAAGTACTTAAGGATGGAGGCTGGTTGCCAGGGGACCGGGAAGGGAGAAAAAGCTTGAGAGGGGAGGGGATGGAGGTTGACTAGATCACCATTGGACAATAATTTAAATCAATTATGCCTATGTAATAAAGCCTCCACAAAAGCCCAAAGGAGTGGGTTCAGAGAGCTTCCATGTTGGTGAACACATGGAGGTTTGGGGTGAATGGCACATTTAAAGAGGGCTTAGAAACGCTGTACCCATTCCCAGGTACCTTGCCCTATGCACCTCTTCCATCTGGCTATTCCTGAGTTATATCCTCTTATAATAAGTTTCTCTGAGTTATGTGAGCTGCTCTGGCAAAAAAACTGAATGCAAGAAGAGATCATTGGAAACTCCAATCCAGAGACAACCTGGACTTATGATTGACATCTGAAATGGGGAGCAAGAAGTTTTGGACAACTGGGCTGGGATCTGATGCTGTCTGACAGTGTCAGAGTTCAGTTGATTTGTAAAACACCCCTCTGGTGTCCTAGAATTGGTTGGATGTGTTAGGAAAAAACCTCAAATTGGAATAGGAAGCAGAATATTAGCAGGTTATTCAAAAATCAGATTCTTATATTCATTTCTAGGTAAACTTTATTTGATGACTTTTTTTTATATTCTTTTTAAAAAAATATTATAATAAGTATTACAAAGGGTATTACATATGTGTCCTTCCCCCACCCCCCGCCCTTGACAATCCCCTTCCCTCCCTTACCCCCCAGTGTCTTATGTCCATTAGTTATGCTTATATGCATGCATACAAGTCCTTCGGTTGATCTCTTACTCCCCTCCCTTCTGCCCCGCAACCCTCTCTGGCCTTCCCACTGCAGTTTGACAATCAGTTTGAGGCAGCTCTGCCTCTGTATATTTGATGACTTCTTGTTTCTATAAAAGTCCTCTGAGTTAAATTCCCAGTCTTTTTAGTTCAAACACAATCAAGAAGTACACTCTAGTACTTAAGAACTGGTATTTTTCAATGTGATTTAGTAACTTGCTATCACAACAGTGACACTGAGCTTATTTATCTCAGCATATATTCTATTCTATTCTATTCTATTCTATTCTATTCTATTCTATTCTATTCTATTCTATTCTCTATCATCTGTCTATCTATGAATCAATCATATCATTTTCCATATAACATCAATAGAGAGTAGACAGGAAAAAGAAATGTGATCTTTGGTTAGTTGAAATGATTTTGCATAGGATTCAAGGTAACATCTGAACATCTTTTAATGATCAAAACCTTAATTGAGAAGTCACATAGACTTTATCAGAGTATTTTTGTACCTCATTATTTTTCCAACAAATATTTATTGAACATCTATGAAATGTATAAGGCATTCTGCTAAGTGTCAGAAAAATGGTCTGAGAGGTAAAGAAAAGTGATTATAGCACAGTGCAATGCTCTCTTTCACTACTGCAGAACTGTTGGAGAAATGGGGATGAGGAAGCCAACCTTTTATAACAAAAGAATCAAAGAAACCAAGAAAGGAACGGATTATGTTGAGCTTTACCTGCATGCTTGTTGCGTCTGTGGCTGATTCTTGGAGTGGATGAGCCATTTCCCCGTGGTAGAAAAAGGGCAGCACCTTTGACAGTTAGAAAGCTCTCGCTGATGCTACGAAAAAGAAAAAAAAATCATAGACTAAGATGGAGTCCCGCTTTGGAATTATTTTCTCTTCCCTATTCCAAAGTCCCAACTTCATGATATGAAGTAAAAATAAAATCAAAAGAGACCATGGTTACTCACCCAGTCCTGTCTAGACAATTTTTATGAAACAGACTTAATATATTCCATATACATTACATAGTAGCAGTTAAGAGTGAAGACTCTGGAAACATAAAAAGGGTAAAGGTTCTGGAACCAGACTGTCTGGATTTGAATCCTGGCTCTGCTACTTCTTACCTGAGTGAATTTTTGGGGTCTAAATTCCATTAGCCATAAAACTGAGAAAATACTAGTAAAATGAGGTCGTTGTGAGGAGTCAATAAGACTACAGCTTCTTAAGAGTGGTGCCTTTAGTAAAGATTAGTTACTATTATTAGACCGATGGTTATCAATAATGGTGTTTCAATAGTGTTCTAATCAGATGTAAATGGTACAACACTTAGTTACTAGTAATAGATCCAACGTTTGCAAAACAAATTATGTTGAAAATACACACCACGCTAAAGAGTTACTCAAAATTTTACTTTCACCAACTTGTATTCCCACATCCACTGAAAAGTAGTGCATAGGGGGTGTTTTTAACCCATGGAATTTGCCCTCTATGTTAACTGAATCCTTCATGTGAATGATAGCTCCACAGAAGTGAAGAATTACTCTTTAGGATAGAGGCTATTCAAAATATAATTGCTAGTGGATATCCAGAGAAAATGGAAAATACACCTAAATTATTTCATATCAACAGACTAAGCCTTTTAATGTTACCCACAGAATCCAAAAAGGATCAAACTTTTAAATCACGAATGGCAAAGTTTAGAAATGGAGGGTTCCAAGTTTGCTGGTAAGTATGTATGCTATTCAGGGTTAGTTAATATATTATAAATTATACTGCCTACTCAACATTTCCACTTGGAAAAGTAACTGTCATCTCAAACTTACATTGCCAAAACTAACCTCTTGAGGCCCTTGCTGATCCCTAGCCTCATCCACCCAAGTTGTCTGGGCTAAATACATAACAGTTATTGCTGGTTTCTCTTTTTTCCTAAAACTATATATATGTAATCCATCAGAAAAACCTATGAACTTTACTTTTAAATAATTCTTGAATCTGTCCACTTAACTCCATTAACACTCTAAAAATGAATGGTCCATGGCACCATCATTTTTTACTTAGAATACTGTAAAAAAAAAACAAACCACCCCATGTTCTCATACATTTCAGCTTTAATTCATGGCAAAGCTTGTTTCTTTTTTCTTTTTTTTTTTTTGGTTAATTCTCACCTGAGGAAATTTTTTCCATTGATTTTTAGGGGTCTGGGGGAGGAGAAACATCAACGTGAGAGAGACACATTCATTGGCTGCCTCCCACATGAGCCCCAACTGGGGGCTTGGAATCAGACCTGCAACCCAGGCAACATGCTCTTGACCAGGAATCAAACCCAAGACCCTTCAGGATGCGGGCTGATGCTCTAACCACTAAACCCCAGCCAGGCCTAACCTTGTTTATTTTATCCTTCTCCTTGTACTTGAACTGAAACTAATCCCAGACATTATATCAACATAAGCCTCTTAACTGGTCTGTCTGCAACCACCTCTGCACTACTACTATCCACTTACCAAAGAGCAACCAGAGTGTTTTAAAACATATA